GTCGGGAACGGAGGACGAATGGACGCGTAGTCGGCTTCGGTGAATTCCATTTTCAGCGTAAGAAAATCCCACGATACTTGGAAACGGGAATAAAAGCGAGGGGAAGAGATACGTGTTTCGTAGACACCTCGTTGCTGCTCGATCGGAAACTCGATTTTTCTATCGCGCAACACGATTCCGTTACTGCAATTGAAACACGGAAGCAAAGGACGACCGACGAATAAGAAAGAAACTTTTCATCCGACGGGGAAGAAGAGTGGGGACGAGAAACTTGAACTCCCAATTTGAAACATGGTGTCAAATTATAATCTGTGTGATACGTGAGATTTTTCTGGATTGCCGCCGCTGAATCCGAAAATCGGGTACAGAGATCGGGGGACGTTTAAATTTCAAGCTGCACCACGATCAGATCCTCTTCTCGACGTCCATTCGGTATTTGCATACACCTACCGGTGGGCGGAGATGATCCCGAAACGAGCAGAGATCCACTTGAACCGGGTAAAAAGTGACGATGATCCGTATCGATCTGAAAACGGTCTCACGACGTCTGAACTGGAAGGGTCTCAGGATGACGAGGGCGACTCGCTTGACTTTACGGCGAGTTATATAAATCCGGATCACGATTATACGTGGACACACTCGCGAAAGCGAGAATTCGAAATACGGGTCGGAGGCTCGATAACATGGCTCTAGTGAAATTAGATCGCAGGCAGCTGGCGCAGTCGGTCTCGTTAACTGCGGGACTATGAAGCAGACAATGGTGGGCTAAGTAGCAACAGAATCGGGCGGATAATGATCGAGCCGACGTACTCCTTCGACGGTAACTGAAACGAGAAAATTCCAAGCCTGTGCAGACACCGAGGAATGGATTGTCTAACGACGTGTGTACGTAACGTTCGACGAGAGGAAGGGAAGCGAAAGAGGCTGAGAAAGGGAGAGACGGTAGGAAGTAACGAGCTCCAGTTTGCCGAGAAATCGAGCCAAACGCGAGCCGCGGTCTGCGTGAAAGAAACGGGCCGTCAAGTTAACAGAATGTTCACTGCCATTACGCGAAATTAGACGAGGAACGGAGGCCAGGGAGGGAGGGAGGGAGGAAGAAAAACAGACGCGAGGGCGGACGCTGTAAAACGTGAAGACGAAATAGTGGCAGCACAGGGAGAAATTGTTGGAAGAGAAAAATCGAGGGAATGCGAGAGAGGAAGCGGGAGAGGAAGCGGGAGAGGAAGCGGGAGAGGAAGCGGGAGAGAGGGATCCGTCCTTCGGTCCTTGCCATTTTCGTCCTCGACCCGAGAAAAGCCCGCATTAGATGTCCTTTCCACCTCCCGGGTTTCGTCCTCCCTCGCCCTTCCACCCTACCTACTGGCCTGCTTTCCAACCTCGTCGACGCAAACCTCGTTCGTACCCCTTTTACCGCGGCCACCGCGACGCAAGTAACCAAGGTAAGAAACGCGGACGAGAAAGAAGAGGCGAGAGCCTCGTAGACGAGGAGGTGCGAATCAACGAGGAAATAATTTTAACCAACGACTGATGGACGAGTATAAATCATACCGATCGTTTCCTACTGGACTTTGCTACTTTACAAAGCGTACGGATATTAACGATAACTCGTACACTTTCACGGCTTACGATCGGAGAAAGTCGTCGCATTTGAATCGCTCGCATCGTCGTGCGAATTCAATTTCCGTACGATAGAACAAAAAGAAATCGTTGCTTTCCAGAACGGTTTGCGCAAAAATTAACTATACCGCGAAACGCTTGCGTACTCTTGTTTTTAAACGTGACTCACGATTAGGCGAACAGTGATACTCGTTGAGCGGTTCTTCTTCACGCCTGCGTACTGAACGTTTGTCAAGGTAGCTCAAAGTTTTTAGCACTTTCGAAACTCGGATCGTGACTCGATCTGTGAACCGGAACGTTAACGGAAACCAGTGTTCTCCTTTTAATTTCGACTCTACTAGCAAATGCATCAAAGACGCCATCATCATCAGACGCCCATTTTTTCGACAGAAATCTGTTTATACGTGAACGGCATCGTAAAAAATTAAGGATGCGCGATCGTCCGATCGGGTCGTTACTTTTTATCGTGGTCAGCGGAGGATATTCGCGTGAAAAGTGGCCGTTCGATAATTGTCGTACGATAGCTGCGCGGCACATGCCGCCGTGTCTGACGCTTCGCATACGATTAGACGTAACGACGTGATCGTCGTCTATCCTTAATTGCCTGTCCGTTAGAAAGTGATTCTCGAAGCTACTTTCCTCATTCAATTCATCAAGGCGAATCGTAATTTCGTTTTATAACTAACGTAATTTTGGTTCATACTCGATTAGTGTATCGCGAAACGAGCCAGAAAATGTTCATCTACTTGCTAGACCAGTGAGTGAATCGTGTCGTAACTGTTCTGAAATCGTTCGGTTCGCCTCGTTCCGAGAGCGTTACGCAAAAATAGTTTGGCAACGCTATAAAACGTAATCAGAAAAACAGCATCGTCCTAGCACCCTAGCTGCACGGAAATGAGTCACAGCGAACGAATTCTTGCTAAGGAAGAAGATCGTTATCGCGCGTGAAAACATTGAAAAGACTCGTTGCGTAACGTGGCAGATTTGTGGAAACCGGCGATCCGGACGATAAACGCACTCTTTATATTGTACAAGCGTGTGCCTAATAGATTCGAGAAACGAGAAACATATTTAGGATCTTTGCGGCTGATAGAAAAGGAGAAGCAGGAAAAATCTTGCGGCCGCGATTAATCGCGTAATGCCGTAATGCTCGCGGAACGACTCTGACGGCCAGGCGAAAACAATGTTGGATCGTTGCGTTCGCGTCTCCAACTCTGCGGGCACCGTTTCTCCCCGAGAAACGAGAGCGAAGTCGACCGCGGTGTTACGCGTGGGGAAAACTGCTGGGAAACCTACCGGCTGCTGACTCTCTTTCAGACAAGATTCTTCCTCTTCGTAACCGCGCCGATTCTTTCACGTTTCCGTTTCAAGAATCCGACCGCGCTCTGTCCACATTTTTCTCCTGTTTCTCGTAAAACGCACTCGAGCCCCGTCGACGCGTTCTTCTGCTACTGGTAAAACAATCCGAGATCCAAACACACTCTCCTCTGTCTGTTCGACCCTGCGTTCAAGCGTTCAATACCGCCCTCGCAAGCAGGGCACCGAATTATCGTTCGAACACGTGCTGGCTCGTCGAACGATTTTAGTGGCCAGAGGTAGAGGGAAACCGAAACGGACGCGTCCAATATAAACGGCGGCGTCTCGGTGAACTCGGTTCGATCGTGCGTCGACCGACGTCTGACTTGGACGAGAGCCCGGCTGACGAAGCGGGCCAGGGACCGGTGAAAATTATTCTGCCTCTGCTTCCCTGGGAGAATCGCCAACGGAACGATGGCGAGCCGTCGCGTGTCGCGTCGTCTATCGATCCTCGAGCGCGTACGCTCGGCTCTTGTTCACAAACGCACTTTCATACGCTCGACAGGGACACGCCCGGAGAACGCGAACTTTCGAGAAAAACAACGAGAGCCGTGTTCGCCTCGCTCTCGTGGTGGTACGCGTGGGAGACGAGCGACACGATTTCGCGTCTTGACGGAATCGTTTCAACGGCGCCGTTCGAATTCAACGGGACAGAGATACGACTGTTTCGCTGAAAGACGAATTCTCCGAGAAGAGTTTGTGGACGCGCGAGTTGGAATTTTACGAATGCCATGACGGACACGACTCGTGATATCGTGGTAACGATCGTACGTTTCTCATCGGGGCGATTCGCTGAAACCGTTGAACGGATCGGTGACGAACCACGGTCGGTTTGATCCGTCGTTTGTCCAACAGGTTCGAAAACTGAAAGAATCATTACAGATATCCACGGTCGACGAGTCGATCGCGAACGGGTGGAAAACATTTTTAGTGACTCGCAGCGTTGATCGTCATTGACGAGAGGCTCGAGTATCCGGATTTTCGTCGGACGACGAGTTCTCATTAGCGCACGAGTGCCCTCCTCCGTTCTGTCGGGTTACGTCGAGTGCCTGTTACTAATACCCGCGGAACGTTCGACGAGTTTCGAAGCGAGACGCGTACCCATCGAGAACACCAATGAGGATGCGGAAAATTGCACGATGTATGATACGCTGACAAAACTCTGGCGACCATCCAATATTATCCAATTTTATACTGTTTCAATTTCACTGTCTAATCGCCTGATCGAACGATCGGTCATTTTCGATCGATTCGATTGAGTCGGGCGGCAAAAGTAAACCACGTAGTAAACAATTTAACAAAATTAACGGAACAATTACGGTATAATCTTTGCGTCGAGTTCCTCGCGTTTCACGGTCGTTCGGGCAAAGACGTTGTCAGCACTCGGGTCGATGAGACCGTGTGATTCAATTATCTGACAAACGGCACCGATACGCGTAGACCGCGCTCTTCTCTCGTCCACGCTCGTCGGCGGCACGCGCGAATAAATTCGCGTTTCGCGTCTATAAATTCGTAGTAACTACCGCGGAACGGCCAATTTTATCCTTGACATTGAAGTCGACTATCGACGGGAGTATGAAATCCTGTGACTAACGCCAGCTATTATTTCTTGTAACGGCGACAGGGATTTCTCTACAGCTTAGTAGTAACTTTATTACTTTCGTTTCGAGTTTAACCGTTGAATTTATTGCTCCGTCGAATCTGCTCACTCCGTCGTTGCAGCTCAGATGGACGTGAATCGTGGTCCAAGTCTCGCTTGGCTATGTATAAATACTGATAATCTCGTAATTCCACGACTCTCGAATCGACGAGTCTTTAACTACCGATTCGTTCGATTCGTCCGGTTGTTTTTTATTTGAAGACGAGAGCTACCACGCGTTAACAGGTAACGGTGAAAGACAGAAACTTCGGGACGTATCTCGCTCGAGTTTCTCGCTCGTCGCTCGTCGTCTCATCGTTCCGGGCCTTCAGATTTAACCGCGATCCCGCGGCGCGTTTCGTGAAATTTTAAAGAGATGCTCACTCACCGCTCGATCTTCTCCATCGTGGTGGGATGCTGCAAAATGGTCTGCTGCCCGGACATCTCGACGACGCATTGTGTGCCGAGTTCCAGCTCTGAAAAGTAGAACGAGCGTGAACATTGAAAAATCCCTTCGAAGCGATATGCAGATCCACGAGCTTATTCATCGTTTTACGAGCGACCGTGATTCTGTTCCGTGAAACAGCTGAATATTTGCATTTTGTGTTCTGAACCCGCGATCAAGTTTCCACGTCTGCCAACGATGTCAGACGCGTCATCGTCTAAAGGCGACTAAAAATACACTCGAGGGTACACTCGAGGGGATTCGTCTGATTACGAGTTTCCAAGTCTGTTCAGCGACTGTTGGTATTGTTCGAGAGGCAAGTTTTGAATGGCCGTGTCATTTTGCATGACACGTTCGAGAACTTGGCGGCCTACCTGAATTTTACACCGAACCCGTTTAACGAACGAATATCCCGTCCAAGTTCCCGTGGTCCTACGAACGCGCGCCGGCCCGTAAGTGGAAACAGTCGGTCTACGGTCAGACACGCTTCTGTGCTCGACCCGACGAGACGTTCTAGCTTCGTATCGAGGCACCATTGCCAATACTTGCTCCCGCTAGATCTAGATCGACGTGTCCAGTGAGTAGTGAGCGTAAATAGTTTTTCTCTGCCGTAGATCGTCACGTAGTTCTCATTGACGATTCAGAAGAAGAGAAGCGTGGACGAAGGACGGGAAAGGCAGACGGCTCGGATGATCGATACGATTACGCGAGGCAACGGAACAGAGGGTAAGAAGTAAGAAAGCGTAAAAGCGGGGGGACCAACGCATCGCGAAGCGCTCGGTCTGAACGAGACGAAGCCGTGCACGATAGCGCGACAACGTCTTATGACAGTCACGAGTCATAACGCTCGTTCGACTCTCCGCGCGCATACGTAATCGCTCGAGCCGGAGCAAATCCATACTACATGTATACGGTACATGTAGTAGCGAGCGATCGACCTCCCGTTCGCTTCTCCTTTCTCTCTCTCTCTCTCTCTCTCTCTAGCATTATTCAAACGGGTGTCTATCGCGACTCTCGCTTCGCCCGACCCGATCGGATCGATACGAGCCTCTGTGTTCATTCATGACTCGGTGCACCCGTGGGACGCCCTTCTTCCGCACGCCAACCCTTGAAAAGTTTACATTTTGCCACGGGGAGAAACTTCTCTTTCGTTGTTCGAAATCGGAAAAGTGAAAAACTAAATACCCACTAATACGTAGCCTCTCAAGATCCGATCTCGTTAAATTTTCAATTGACTGTACGAGGATACAGACATGTATTTCGCGTGGAACGATGCTTCTTAGGAATGGATCAACACGACTGGTCACCGACTGCTGTTCTCCAGTGATCGAGTCGTAGGATCGCATGTTCCAGCGGTTTCATCGGTCGACGAGGCATCCGGTAGGTACTTAATTAAAAGCTTGGACGCGACATCGCTGGTTTCACTGTGTGTCGTTATAAGCACTATACACGATACGTCGCTTTACGTCTGTTGGTCAACTGTATCGTCGACACCGTTCATAGAGGCAATTTGGAAAATTAATTAAACGATAGTAGGCTCCGTAGGCAGACGACTCGATTTCCGTGAATCGTGTATCACAGGCGAACGACGCGTTACGAAATTTATTTACGAGACTCACGATTACAAATCAGAGCTCGATTGTTTTATCGTACGATGATACGTGTACGCGGAAAAAAAATGTGTTTGAGCGATCAAGACTTTATCGTTGACTCCTTCCCCTGGTTCGAGCGTTCGACGTTTCATACGCGATGCGTCACGAGAAATTTTCCGTGAGCAACACAGTGTCGTACCACTCCTTTCCTGGCGTATCGTCTATTCTCTCGCTCGTATCCTCGAAACAATGTCGGTCGGTGGTTCAAAGGTAAAAATGAAGAAAACTCGAGCGAACAAAACCAAAGAACCCTCCTCGGGTTCTAATTAATTAAAGGAACTACTCGTCGCTTCTCTCTCCCTCCACTCTCGCTTGGTTCTAGGCCGAGGGAGGCACAGCCGACAGACAGAGAAGGAATCGTCGAACGAACTAATGAAAATTGAACGAAACAACTAATGGTACGTATTGATTGGCTCTTGGCGAATCGCTTCGCCCGACCCGATCGGATCGATACGAGCCTCTGTGTTCATTCATGACTCGGTGCACCCGTGGGACGCCCTTCTTCCGCACGCCAACCCTTGAAAAGTTTACATTTTGCCACGGGGAGAAACTTCTCTTTCGTTGTTCGAAATCGGAAAAGTGAAAAACTAAATACCCACTAATACGTAGCCTCTCAAGATCCGATCTCGTTAAATTTTCAATTGACTGTACGAGGATACAGACATGTATTTCGCGTGGAACGATGCTTCTTAGGAATGGATCAACACGACTGGTCACCGACTGCTGTTCTCCAGTGATCGAGTCGTAGGATCGCATGTTCCAGCGGTTTCATCGGTCGACGAGGCATCCGGTAGGTACTTAATTAAAAGCTTGGACGCGACATCGCTGGTTTCACTGTGTGTCGTTATAAGCACTATACACGATACGTCGCTTTACGTCTGTTGGTCAACTGTATCGTCGACACCGTTCATAGAGGCAATTTGGAAAATTAATTAAACGATAGTAGGCTCCGTAGGCAGACGACTCGATTTCCGTGAATCGTGTATCACAGGCGAACGACGCGTTACGAAATTTATTTACGAGACTCACGATTACAAATCAGAGCTCGATTGTTTTATCGTACGATGATACGTGTACGCGGAAAAAAAATGTGTTTGAGCGATCAAGACTTTATCGTTGACTCCTTCCCCTGGTTCGAGCGTTCGACGTTTCATACGCGATGCGTCACGAGAAATTTTCCGTGAGCAACACAGTGTCGTACCACTCCTTTCCTGGCGTATCGTCTATTCTCTCGCTCGTATCCTCGAAACAATGTCGGTCGGTGGTTCAAAGGTAAAAATGAAGAAAACTCGAGCGAACAAAACCAAAGAACCCTCCTCGGGTTCTAATTAATTAAAGGAACTACTCGTCGCTTCTCTCTCCCTCCACTCTCGCTTGGTTCTAGGCCGAGGGAGGCACAGCCGACAGACAGAGAAGGAATCGTCGAACGAACTAATGAAAATTGAACGAAACAACTAATGGTACGTATTGATTGGCTCTTGGCGACGACGGCCCACCCGCGCCAACGGTCGGCGAACTTTCACAGAAAATTGTGAAGAATCTCGCGTGAAGAATGCCGCGGGAGAATCTCGACGAACGTCGGTATCGTTTCGTTTGACTTCAGCTGCCGAGCCAGGTAGACAGGTGGTGGTGGTGGTGGTGGTGGTGGTGGTTGGAGCTGGTTTCGGAATTGCGGGACAGGACAACGGTCGCCGACCAACGTACGAGTAGCAACGTTCACGAAAATGCATTTCGCATAATTCGTTTACAACAGAATTCGATCCAGAATGGACTTGCACTATGTGATTAGAAAGCAACGTGTAACGTTTAAAGAATAATATTTGCACGTTCAGAATTTTTAAGCGTAAAATCGAAAACCCATGAAATCGACGCGTTAAATTCCTGTTGGTGAAGCACATTTGTACGATCGTGCATAAACGGCCGCAGACTACTTATAAATGCAGTATCCGTGCGCTCGTCTGGTTCGTGTTCCCCGATACGTACGGCGAATAGGATATGGCGCGCGCATTTGGATGAAGAACCCCCGCGAGAACCCCCGCGAGAACAGATCGAGCGGCTTTGATTAAAACCGAGTCACCCGGTTCGATTCAGAGCCATTCGACGCGTGAGTCATGAGAACGGAATAAAAATATCCTTTCGCGATTCTTTCCATTAAGAATTCTTCTCTCGAATCGCCCTGTCTTCGATTTTGCATCTGGTCTGGAACGTGCGGCGAGCGTGAATTCTCCTTGATAAAACCGGCACGTAGCACGTTTTAACGAATCGAAATAGAACGATGGAACGAAAAGGGGGATCCTCTCATGGCCTATGGGAAAAGGGCCTGCCGTCGTGTACGGACTGGGTGGAAAATTAACTCGGGTCGGGATAGGTTTCACGATCAAAAGATGAGAACGCACCGAGCCGCGTCGACGCGACGTCGTCGCGGTTTCTAATTTTCTCGCAGACATCGAGCGGTGTCCAACGACTTTGCTCTTTTTAGGTCGACGATGCGCAAAAGAGATGGCGAGCAAATTGGAACATGTTCATTTTTTAATTAAGCCGATTCGTTCGTCGTACCTATTTTTCTTATTATTCCTTTCACATCGGATGAAGCGTTCAACACGCCGTACGGGAACGATCGAGCAATAAAAAGTCGTGACGATTCGCGCGAAGCGCAAAGATGACGGCAGCGGTCGTATCACGATACGAGCGATCAGGTGACTGATAAAGAACGTTTGTCGGCTGCTGATGAACGTCGATCGGCGACGCACGTCCACGTATACGCGTTACGATCCCCTGACAGGTTCGAGGGACGGGGTAACGCAGGAGGGTGAACACGGATCGATGACGCGACGAAGATGGTGCCTGACCGAGAGACCTGACCCGCGATTTCAACGAGTCGTTAACGTGTGCACGGAGCCGTGGGTAGAGCGAACGAATGTTTATGGGGACGTCTGTTACGTTTTCCGGTAACTCGTGTTCAATGAACCACTCCAATTGATCGCCGCGAACGATCGCGTCCGTCTAAAATGAACTTTTTACGCACGACTCGACGAGTGTGGCACGAGCTCGCCCTTCATGGAAATTCGTTTCGCGACGAATGCCAGCGGCGAACCCTCTCAAAAGATTGGCGAGCCGTTTATATTTTTGGAACGCACACATTGCTACCGTGAACACGGTTGCTCCTATCTCGAGATTTCGAGTGGTGCGTTATTTTTATTTTTCAACGCGAGACGATTCCATCGTCGTGCGAAGGATGGCGAATCGGGCCTGCGCGCACTCGTCCCGAAAACGGAATCCCAACTGTCCGTCGCGTTCACGTTTATAAATTTTCATATCTCCGTAACTCGCTTCTGACTCTCGAACGCTACGAAATTCTATCTTACGTTTCACCTAAAAATCATTGAGACGAGCGACCGGCGGCGACGGCGACGACGACGACGACGACGACGATTCGTAACGTCGTACGAAAGTTTCGTTACGATGCATGTAAGTATTCGTTTCGACGTTGATCACGACCGAAGCTTAATGTTATTGGATTCGAAATTCTCGACGGATAAGACATCTTACGTCGGTCGCGCTTTGCAATGCGATCAGAGGTTCTTATCGGTTTCGTCGCTCGCTGTGACGACCAACACCGATAGTAACGGTGTGGGGGCTTCTTAACAAAACACGAGTTATGCTTCGGTTACTTTCGCTGTGACTCGAATTATCTTCTCGAGTTGCCCGCGATCCTTGGACGACGTATTCTCGAATTGGAACAAAAGGACTCGACGATTTCTCCGAGAAACACTGTTCACTCGTTTCATATCGTACGAGAGAAGCGGTACGTTATCGATTTTCAAAGTGTACGAAGTAAACAAAGCTTAGCAATATCTGATAATGCTTATCGCTAATGAAAAAGTCTATCCCGTTCCCCTCGTTCAATCTCTCTGTCGTCGCGATAAACCTAATGGACGCGTCGACGGGTGGCGCGGATCAGTTAAATAATTGTTGGCACCCTAAACGTACGAAACGACCGATAAGTACTGAGGTCGTGTGGTCGAGGTCGAAATCGATCGATCTATCATATTAGCCCGTGAACACATGATCATGACGTGTCACGCGCGCGGCTACCGGATGTATAGAGAAGAACCGCGATCTTTCGTACCGTTCACGTATCTCCGTCTCTGTAGAGACGACTCCGGAAACTCGAAATCGGTAGCTTCGAACTCATGGAAATTTTCCACGGGATCGAGCGGCTCTCGTCGTAGGATCGATCCTCTCCGATTTCCAGGGTTCTGGCCCTGGCGGACCGTTGACACGCTCTGACGTATTACCGAACGTCGTTTGAAAATCGACACTATCGCTATTTTCGTTTTATTTCCGAATTGGAAACGAACGGTCAAGTCGGAATTGTATTTTCCTGGAACACGCTCGCTCGGAATAGTTCTGTTCCAGCGATGCACATGCATTTTTCTCAGTTACAATTAATTTAATTCGAGTAGGAACGATGCGAAGCAAAGGCCACTCCTACCTTACAGTTTACGAACCGCGCCGAAATGGCCTCGGGAGACCGTCGTGTGTTTGTGAAAGGCGCGCAATCGTAAGCAGAGACGGTCGGGAAGTGATCGACGGTAGAAAATTTCTCGATGCAAGATTCAACGGAACATAATTTGCTAAACATCGGACGCTCTTCTGACGTCGAGTTCCCGCGCATGCAATTTTCGCGTGACACGAGCGATCGGCAGAACTTTGAAAGATCGGCGAACGAGTGGCCGCGATCGGGGAGTATCGATCCCCTCTCGCCCGAACGCTTCCGAACGGTTTACTTCTTTTTTATTCCTCTAGTTGTCCGACGACGACGGCGTGTAATTATCGGGGAAAGTGCACTCCGTTCTCAACAGCGATGCCTGTTGACGATTCACGCTGTTAGAAGCCGTGTGTGCACCGTCCACCTGACACACGAGAGTCTTTCGTTTCTTTCGACGACACGTCCCGATTTCCTCTCGCGCTCGACAAAATAATGTTCGAGCGGCACGCGGCAGAGAGAATTTGACGATCAAACGAACACGACGAGGACGACGGTACTACCTGGCAACTGTCGACCCGCGAAAATTTTGAACGTGCGACAACGTTGCGAACGACGTCCACCGACGTCGGCAGGTGACAAAAGTCACGGCCGAAGGGTAATAGCAACGCTTTCGAACGGCGATTACCACGCACGTTAACGATGCGCCGATTAAGAGACGAGTCGCGGTTACGTCAAATACGATCGTAAACGAATACACACGTGCCTCTAACTAGCCACCTGCGACGGCTGCGACTCATGAATCGAGTCGGAAACAGCCTCCCGAAGGACGCCCTCGTGACAGAAGTCAAAACCAGAAACTCTGGTGTCGGTCGTCTATTCGCCGAAAGGAAAAAATACGTACGGGCAACGCGACGACTTTGTCGGCGCGAGTCACGCTTTCACGGTGTTCACGTATTGATCAGATTTAGAACGTAACGTATGGTCGTCAAGAAAGTAGCAGTACACTTTCGGAGGAACGGAAACCGAGATCGAAGCGAATAATAAAATTCTCGTTAGTCGTCCATACTGAGGCGAGAACAGAAGCAGTACGTTCGAACTATCTCGTCTGAACGGATTGAAAACATGTGACTCGCGTTGCTCTCCGCTTAACAGGTAATTTCTCGATGCAAGATTCAACGGAACATAATTTGCTAAACATCGGACGCTCTTCTGACGTCGAGTTCCCGCGCATGCAATTTTCGCGTGACACGAGCGATCGGCAGAACTTTGAAAGATCGGCGAACGAGTGGCCGCGATCGGGGAGTATCGATCCCCTCTCGCCCGAACGCTTCCGAACGGTTTACTTCTTTTTTATTCCTCTAGTTGTCCGACGACGACGGCGTGTAATTATCGGGGAAAGTGCACTCCGTTCTCAACAGCGATGCCTGTTGACGATTCACGCTGTTAGAAGCCGTGTGTGCACCGTCCACCTGACACACGAGAGTCTTTCGTTTCTTTCGACGACACGTCCCGATTTCCTCTCGCGCTCGACAAAATAATGTTCGAGCGGCACGCGGCAGAGAGAATTTGACGATCAAACGAACACGACGAGGACGACGGTACTACCTGGCAACTGTCGACCCGCGAAAATTTTGAACGTGCGACAACGTTGCGAACGACGTCCACCGACGTCGGCAGGTGACAAAAGTCACGGCCGAAGGGTAATAGCAACGCTTTCGAACGGCGATTACCACGCACGTTAACGATGCGCCGATTAAGAGACGAGTCGCGGTTACGTCAAATACGATCGTAAACGAATACACACGTGCCTCTAACTAGCCACCTGCGACGGCTGCGACTCATGAATCGAGTCGGAAACAGCCTCCCGAAGGACGCCCTCGTGACAGAAGTCAAAACCAGAAACTCTGGTGTCGGTCGTCTATTCGCCGAAAGGAAAAAATACGTACGGGCAACGCGACGACTTTGTCGGCGCGAGTCACGCTTTCACGGTGTTCACGTATTGATCAGATTTAGAACGTAACGTATGGTCGTCAAGAAAGTAGCAGTACACTTTCGGAGGAACGGAAACCGAGATCGAAGCGAATAATAAAATTCTCGTTAGTCGTCCATACTGAGGCGAGAACAGAAGCAGTACGTTCGAACTATCTCGTCTGAACGGATTGAAAACATGTGACTCGCGTTGCTCTCCGCTTAACAGGTGTAACCGCAGACTTTTTTCCAGTCCGACTTCTTCTTCTCGTACGATCATTAATTACGCGACAAGGTGACTGGTGAAACGTCATCGTCGCGTTATCGCTAACACCTCGTAACAACTCGTTTGCTCGAGCATTGACGCAGCTGTTTCTTTCTCGAGAACAAAAGGGCATTCGGCGTTATCGAACGGACCGTGGCAAAGTGCACCGATTCTTTTTATCGAACGCGTTCGGCCAGGTCGATCGAGACCGAGCCCCAGGTTAGTCTCTGGCGAGCCTGATCGATCGAAATTCGATGCTCCAAGGTCGTTCGGAGCAACGTCACTCCGAACGTTCTGGTCACATGTCTGTTCCTTGTCACGCGGTTCCACGGTAGCTCCGTGAACGTGCATACATAGTTGAGCTATGGACAAATCTCCGTTTGAATTCGCTTGGAGATTTTAACGAGACCCGCGTCCTTGAGAGGACGTCCTACGTCTACGAGCCACGGGAACGAGGTAAAAGGTGACGATGTTCGGAACAATGGACCGTGCGACTCTCGATACGTAATTTTGAACAAAGGAGCGACGAGTGCGACTGGTAAACACACCATCGGGCAAGTGGATCCCGAAAGCTTCGAGCCGTTCACGATTCATCTTGCTCACGTTTCCCCTTTACGGGCCGCTGAACAGCGATACGGGCGCGAGATAAGGGAACATGAGAGGCGATAACGAGGCCCGCGTATCGCCGCGGCAGGTGAATGAAAATTGCGGAGCAGACCGATCGGCCCCGGATGGGGGAAAACGTCACTGTCAAAACGTACTTCGGTGGTGGCCAACGGTGTCGAAGGTCGATCTCGAAATCGTTAGACGCGATAACGCGTTTACCACGCCCGCGCACGGCAGTGGTGAAACAACGGTGACAGCGTCTAGACAACGGCGATACTTTTAAAGAGCTCTTACCTCTGCGATTGAACGGCCGGACCCGCACGGCAACCTTTATCTTATCCGTAGCCATGATTTCACACCGGTAACGCGCACTGTATGTCCCGATCACACGGAACTGCTACGACGCTTTTGTTTGCACAGGTTACGATATTCACACGATCTCCGGTGCGCTACATTATTCTCAACCCATTCCGCGAACCTTTCATCGTTTCAAACGGCACTACGACTCACCGAGCCGATGACACACTTCGCCATATTGCTTCTAGCTCGTCGTCGTGCGTCGTGCGCCAGACGACGGATCGCCGTATCGAGTGAACGCGCTTCTGTGAACTGCCACCAGGCACGCTGTCACGGTTGGCTGTATTCTGCGAATGGTCGCGAGCGTCACGTCGCGGCGACTGGTCGGATTTGGCCGCGGTCGTGTGCCACCATGTGACATCTGACGGCCGGCAGCCGTACTAAGGTCTGCTAATCGTTGATCGAGAGCGGCAGCACCGATCGTAACTTCGCGCCGTAACGGTACTATATGTTTGTTGTCAATTTTTGTGTCTGTTTGTGTCGCATATGGCAGCATATGGGTCTCGCGTTGCAGACGTCGTGAAAAATAAATTTTCGTTTCGTTTCAATGAGAAAGATCGATGGTTGATGGGCAACGAATCGCACGAACATGATCATTAAGCTTGCGAAGATAATAAGCTGCTCTTCGGAACATCCATCCTATCCCGCCTCTAATCTGTTGCAACGTAATTCAAAAACGTCATGGCGAGTGGCAAAGCCTGGAGAGATGCTTGGCACGGTAATTTTCGAACTGGCAGAATCGTGCTGCATCACAGGATTAGACATCGGCAACTATCGTAGTTGCGTGGTAATCGTTTCTGCTTCCACGTCGTCGGAGCCTGACGTCTGGACTCCTGTCGCGAACCATCAGTTCATGACGAACGACGAAGCTGCCAATGGTAAGTTCAAGGACCAAGTAGAAATATTCACGAAGAAAGAATTAAATCCTGACACGGTAAAGATGAAATTCGACCGCGTCAAAGTCACCTGTATGCAGTCGGCCAATTTGAAAGAGTTATTCGGCTTGACTTTCATCACGTTCAAAACGGAAGTGGTCGTCGACTTGGGATTAGACGTTTTTGGGAGATTTAAGTTGAAACAACCGGAGGAAGATAATGGCAGGTCACCTGCTACCGATTTCAAACACAAGTATTTGAAAATGGTCGTAGAAAAGAAAACGGATTATAGAGGCGAATTGATCTCAAAGATAAAGGAGACTGGCATGAACAATTTTGTTAAACGGCAAGAAGAGAACAGGGAACCGGCGAAGAGGCCGTTACTGGAGAAATTGGAAGCTGGCAAGTCGGAAGAGGTATTTGGAAGTAAGAATAAAGACGATGAAAAAGTTGGAAATGAGAGACCAGTGAAGAGAACACCGTTTGGTGACGTGGTGCCTACGACTTCATCTAAGGAGAACGAAATGGATGAGAAGGATGCCCGCAAAAATGGTGCGCGGAATCGTAATCCAAGAAACGGTTGTTCGAGTCCTGCAGATAATAGTTCGTCGAAGGGGAATGCGAATAAAAGAAAACTAGATTGTTCTCGATGCCAAGATAAATCGGAGTACGAGGTATGCGAAAATTGTGGTAAATTGCCAGAGTCTAAACAGACAAAAAGACCGGGGAACGTTGTGAAGAAGAACGGTGTGAGGCCAGAAAAAGCGGAAAAGTTATTCTCAAAACTGTTCGAAGGCGTTTCATTTTCGCTCAGCGGATACGTGCATCCGCAGAGAGACGAGATACGGAGAAAAGCACTCGACATGGGCGCAAGATATGTCGCGGATCCAAATACGAGTAATAAAAAATGTACTCATCTGATCTGTGCTTTTAAAAACACACCAAAATATCAACAATTGAAGGGACATTCGAAGATAGTCACACATAGTTTCATCGAAGATGCGTACAGGGAGAAGACGAGGTGACGCACATCGTACAAGTTCAACACGATGAACGAGTAATAATGCATGACGAGTTCACGTTTCTTTGTAATATTTCCAGATTTCCGTGGAGGCGTTACGCTTTGGACGGCAAGGACAAGGCCGAACCTGAGAGCGAAGAAGAAATTACAGGTAGTTCGTCGCCACCCAGGGAAACTAACGTGTATGAACAGGATACTGATTCGGATTCGTATTACTGATCGATCGTTCCTGTGAACGGCGTCGATACGAACGACTGCTGGTACAGAATTCGACGTGTACATAATGAACATGACCATTTAGAATGTTAACTAGATTTCACGCAATGTAACTTGGTGGAATTTCGTGTATCGTTTCTTTTTTTTTTTTAAAACGCAATACATTGTTTTGTAATGAACGTGTGTTATGCCTGTTTCGTCAGCCCTTTGCCGTTTGTAGCTCGGTCGGAGCGGCCACAGAACGGTAGGACAACGGAATTGGAATAGTGAAATCCAGATGTCGCTCACAGTGAGATTCGTACGACCGAAAGACATTGGAATAACGGAAATACGCGTTGATACGCGTGACGACGACTTGAGCCACGCGCTTGTCCATTCTCGTTCAAATTATTGTCGAGATTCTTCCTCTCGACTCCGTCGAGTAAAGTCCTATTGCCAAAGACAAGACTACTGTCCGGTAGATCAGTCTTGAGGGAAGCACTCCAACGTGATTGCTTCTTTCTTTCCTCGCCAATTTCTACGGTTTAGAATGAACAGGAAGGTCGGGGGCCTGGTCGAAATCGACCAAACGCGCCTTGGTAACGCGGATTCGGTATCGTGATTCAGCTAATTTCTGGCAAAGAGACGGAGCTGGTCGGATCGAGTCGTACGCGTGGAACGAACAGACGCGGGTCACTGCACCGACGGTCGCGAACAAAACTGACCCCTGCGATTCGCGTGTAATTTGCGAGGGCTGCTCCGTCTATGCCGCGCCGATCACGTTTTGTAATTAAATCCGGGCCGCCGGCAATCCGGCCGCTGTCTGAAACACTGGTCGCCGCTGTAATTGGAACGTCCAGATGAAGCTGCTGAAGTTTTTGCTCCGTTACTTCCCGCCAGGTACATACGTGTGCCTGCTGTTTCGGTGAAAATTAACGCGCGTCGATATCCGCGAAAACGTCCGACCGACTGCCCGGCTTCTTTTTTCCGCGTCTCTCTCGTGTTGCAGGGCTCGCGTTGGAGTACACACAGGGCGGAGTCGTCAAGACGAAGATGATCGACCTCCTGGATCTGTCTGCTGAGTAATTGAGAACAATCTTGAACGCATACGTGACCGCGTGTATCCCTTCTCTCGTCGATGAATTTTTTTTTTCGATACAATTTAGTCGCGCGAACATTTTGCGTAGCTCGTGCACGTACATACGAGTAGTAACGGTACGAGACTCGACGGAAGGAGACAGTCGCATGCCGCGATCTCGTTTAAAAAGAAATCGCGCAGGTCGTAGGTGTACGGTTGCTCGGCGGGAAATAGACGGTGCCTAGTGTACGCCTGGTTTTGCAGAACGGACGTGAGGGCATTAGCGGAGAGCATAAAAGCGGCCGAGCCGGTAGTAACCGAAAGTGTAACGGAGCAGTTAGTGGAGACCTTGCAGAAGCTGCAAGCCAAAGTTTGCGACACGAACGCGAAACCCTACTACAAATACAAAACGTTGCAGACCCATCTTCTACCTCTCACGAATATCGCGTTCGATAAACTAGGTAAAAGGTACTCTCGATTAAAATCGTATTCGAACATAGCGCAAAATTTAATTCACCTTCTTCGTCGCGTGCAACTTGCGTAGATCTTGCGAAAAGATTCGAGACAAAGAACAGTGAACGACGATCAAACTTGGGAATCTCACCCTTTCCGAACGTAGCGCTCGCAGCATCAGCACGTGTCACGCTTAAGTGCAGCGATTAAAATAAGCATCGAGAGAAGACGTGAGAAACGAGTGAAGTAACTTTTACTAGTCCGAGAAACATTTTCCACCAGCTATGTTGATGCACGCTGTCCTTTCCAATTCTGCGACGAGTGGAACGAGCTCCCAAAGTTTGACCATCTGTTACTCTGTACGTTCTCGAACAAGTTCCGACAAAGAGAGAGGGTGTACCCCCGGCTTATCGCTTGGCACCGTAAAAATAAATTCTTTTTAGCAAGGTTGCTTGCAGATTGGGGATGTAGGGGACCGCCTCCTTTTAAAATCGTATTAGAAACTACACAAACTGTAAGACGTAATTATCGTTACGTTTTACCGCGTCTTTTCCGCTTCTTAAACGAATTTGAAATTCGCACGAGATCTTCAAGTTGAGACGACGTTAGAAGTTCCTCACGAACAGTGAATAAATGAGATCTGTTCGACAGATGCCTGACGGGCAGCTACGACCGGACGTGTAAAGTTTGGAACATCGACAGTGGAACGGAGCTTCTTACTCTCGAAGGCCATAAGAACGTGGTCTACACCGCGTCTTTCAACAACCCAGCCTCGTACGTCTCGTTCGAGCATTTGCCCATCGTGATTCGTTCGTTCGTCGTCGTCGTCGTCGTCGTCGTCGTCGTCGTCGTCGTCGTCGTCGTCCGCCGGAAACGTGAACACGTTTTACACGCTTACGCACATTTTCAATTAAGGCCTGTTTCACCGTCGAACCGTTTAAAGGAAACGTCGACCTTTGCAGGGATAAAATCGTGACCGGTTCGTTCGACGCGACTGCGAAGATCTGGTGCTCTCGAACGGGCCATTGCGTGCAGACCATGTGGGGTCACAGCGCGCAAGTGGTCGTCGCGAAATTCTCACCTAGCAACGACAAAGTCGCGACGGGCTCTTTGGACGCGACGTCGAAAATTTTTCAAACAGAAACCGGTGAGTACACGTCCGCGATCGAACCGACCGTGAAACTGAAATTCGTCCACTGACACTGAACATGAACGTCCGTAACGACAAGGCCGGGAATTGGCGACGCTGAGGGGTCACACGCAAGAGATAGTCGCCTTGCACTACGACAACGACGGGAATCAAATGATAACGGGTTCGTTCGACGGTACCGTCAGCATCTGGGACACGAGGACCGCCAGGTGATTACCAGGGTTACGTTGAGTCGCGTTGGCAACGCGTCACGACGAGTAGAAACTGTTTGAGAATGATCGGTCGGTCAGACGTTCCGATGTGTCTATCACAGCCGTACGAGCGTGTTGATCGGTCATCGAGCGGACTTGTCGAACTGCGTGTACAATTTCGATTGCTCGTTGATCGGCTCGTCGTCGATGGACAAGACGGCCAAAGTGTGGGAAACGCGGATGAACAGATGCTTGGCCACTCTTCGTCGACACGATGACGAGGTTCTGGACCTGTCCTTCGACAATAACGGGAAAAAGCTGGCGACCGCGAGCAGCGACACCACTGCTCGCGTCTGGGACGTGAGCAGTAGTTTCAAACAGCTCGCTTGGATGAAAGATCACCGGGACGAGGTCTCCAAAGGTTGACGAAGCATTCGAGAAACATCGTCGTCGAGAGCAGACGTTCGACGCGTGAGAGTCAATGAAAAAATTGTTTCAGTCTGTTTCAGTCCGAACGGTCAGCAGCTGTTGACAGCGTCCTCCGACAAGACGTCCAAGCTGTGGTCTCTGGAAGATGGACGGTGCGTTCAGACCCTCGGGGGCCATGCGGACGAGGTCTTTAGCTGCGCGTTCTCATACAACGGCGACACCATCGTCACCGCTAGCAAAGATAACACCTGTATCATCTGGAGGTGACTCGACTGGTTTCAAGCGTGTCCTTAGCTCTTGCTAGTTGCCCTGTTCGTCGCTTACGTTATATACTTTTATGTACTTTAAGAGGTATGTTCGTCACGCTGTTTCTGCGATACGATTCACATTGAAGACTACTACTTCGAAAACGAGTTCCGCTCGGCCCGATCAGGGTTTTGAGAACATCTCACCGATCACGACGTTTGTACTACCGCTGTTGCATGTTATGTTTGTAACAAATTAATTCCGTTCGATGCTTGCGGAACCGTGTATTTCGCAATTGTCGTGCACACAATATTTGCGACAGCCGACGTTCGCTCAAAAGACGCAAGGAAGTCGCAAACACGGTGTCTCGAACTTGTCGATGGACGATGGCGTTACCGTTCATGCGTATAACAAATCCGTGAAGCGGAATAAATATCGTTGGACGATCGTTGGCAATAGCACGATACCTCTGCCGTCCCCGAATAATGATCATGAACAAACTTGTTAAATTATAACGCGAAACGGTGTCGCGAGCGCGGTACGATCGTTCAATCAAAATGAAAAGCAGTGGCAGCGTTTTACAGCGGAACGTGAACGGAACACTTGTCGGAACGTTTATTTAACCTTTTGAACCTTTAATGGTTCCTCGTCGCCGACACGGTAATTGAAGCAACGTATCGCACGAGGAATCGTGTAACTGTATGCACGTGGTCAACGTTATCGGCATACTTTGCCGGTGACCGTGACCGAAGGACGAGACAATCTACTGAAATTCATGGGTATGCTCTCTACCGAAGTCATCAATCCATGGATAATTATTGTTTGCAAGATATGTCATTGGTTTTGAAACGCTGAAAGCTTGTAATTTAGAGTGTTCGATAAAGAGAAACGAGGCCGTAGGCCGTAGACGATAGCGCGAACTAGTGAAACGTAATTTTTAAATCGTCGATCAATTCGTATAGTGTAATAACGAAAATTGCGATTAAACGCTGCCCGGTTCGGCTGTTATCCGATGCGGCTGGGAAAAGCATAAAAGCTGACCAGGCTTCGGGCTTTTGATCGCACGAGTCGGTATCGGACGCGTTCTGGCATGGTACCAAGAATTACGCGCGTTCCAACTTTTAAAACGGCATCGAGATAAATTCAGTTTCGTATCGGGTGTACGAAACAACGTTCAGGCCGTTTACGCACTACACTGGATCTCTACGTCGAAGTAAATGTATTAGAGAAACTCGTTCGGGTCTGACTCAGATTATTATCTAATACAGTTGCCGTCCCGATGTCCTGCTGCCGGACATCTGATCTTCGATGTTCGCTCTTGTGTATAGTATATAGTTACAACGTTACAATTGTCGAAATAAAAATTTAGTAGTAGTAGTAGTGTAGTCACCGTGACATAAGAATCGAATTTTGCTTCGTCGGCGACTGCCGCGTATAATAGCCATGGATGCATTCGTTTCAGGAGTCTGCTAATATCGGGTCTCTGACAAGGTAGAATCTGTGTTGTACCTTAAGCTCGTTATTCGTGATTGCATACTTATGCGAACACGCTCGTCCCTACACTCTCGTCAACAGTCGTTCTCTGTTCAGTCCCGAAGACAGTGTCGTTGAAGACGGTTCGAGTCGGTACACAGTCATAGTTTCCGAGGTCAGTTCTATCTTTCGGACCCGGTTGCGGACCAAATATTGATCATGAACCTTAACGATCGGTCGTCGGTTCGTCGTCGAAACGCTCGGAGAGATCGGGAGTGAGCCGTTGGATATCATATTCTCGTGGAAGACACCTGCGACGCAATCACCGAGTCAAAGATTTCGCGGAAATAATCGTGCGCGGTCGTGTCATCGGTCGGGAACAGTGTAAAGAATAGTGATCGATCGGTCGTGTGACCCTCGCCTTCAAATTGCTAGTTTCGTATGAAACAACCACGTACCACTACGTATCTTTCAAGGCTGACTAATCGATCTGGAAGTTTGTAGAAGATCGCGGAACGTTGAGGAAACGAACAGAGTGCAGAGAACTATTTCCAAATTACATGAATCTCAGGTAATACACGCATTGAACGATGTGCGAGAAAAAGAATTTGCAGAGATAGCGTAGATAACGCAGTGACAAATAATTTCCACTGTTCTACTTGCACTTGCACTTGGTCGATCGTATTCCCGATCGAAAAGCGAACTTGATGCACGAGAGAGAGAGAGAGAGAGAAACGTATAAATTAGGTAGAGGATGTTACTCGTGACGATGCGACGTAATTAAAAATACCTGGTCTGCATCTACCCCTATATTACGTCGAGTCAGGAACGTCTGCTCGTCGGTTCGTCGTCAAAATATCGTTTTAATCGAAATGACGCCGATCACGCTCTCGGTATAACGGCACATCGCCGTAGCGAAACTCGTAGACGCAACGTCCGAAATCTGTTTGGGTGAGACCGCGGGACTTGCTTCGAATCCGAACGGCGTTCGAACGATATTCAAATTTCGTTGGTTCGCGGTCGCATGTAACCAGTTTTCCGGAATCGTAGCCTCGCGGCTCGGGAGAAAGAAAATCTCTGCGAACAGTCCGCCCGCGGTAAACGGTACGAATCCGATCGAATCGAGTCCCTCCGAGACGTAAGTAAGAGTAATTAAAGAATTCTGTGAGCGAGACCGGATCGAAAAAAAACTGCAGTTAAGGTGAACGAAGGAGGTACAGAGGAGGTTGTCGCAGATCGAGTTCGACTTGGACCACGAGCGAAATTGGCGTTCGGGCCAAGTATTTCGAACTACGAGCTGGAAGGTGGTACTTTCTCTTGAAAACGATTGAACGACAGAGGCATGGTCGCGTGTCGAGACAGAGCGTGATCGGTGCGAGAATAGAAATACATTTGGACGTTCCGTTGGTCGTGGTCTCTGGACGATGGGGGTGTCGCCGCGTGTCTTCTGATCAGCGGAATCGGCCGCGGATCAACTAACGAGAAGCGAGAGTGAATCACTGAATTAGACTTTGAATCAATGCCGCGTATCGTTCTCGACCCGCTTAAAAATTGTTGGTCGCGCAGTATTTTCCTGAACACGCGCCACGTGTTACACGTGAACGATGATAAAGAGATGGAAGAACGACGAAGAGACCCGGCAACGGGCACCGATAAATAAAGCGCCCTGTCGGCAAATCGCGATGTACACGCACGCGCCGCTCCCGTAGAATCTCGTCGAATCGAATGGTGCTTCTCTCGCTCGTGATAAAGCACGAATTCTCGCGACGGTTCCTTTGGTAATAAAAACGATACGGCGGCGTGCTCTATAACGGGTACGTACACACGGCAGCACGATTCTATGTACGTATGCGTTCACTCGTTTAATGCTTGTCAGAGATAAAACGACTTGTCCGGGGACGATTTATGGGCTGCTGGATTTCCGCCGTTTAAATTTCAACTACAATTAAACGCGCAAGCTTTTGGGTCCGGAGCGTACGTTGAAAAATTGCACGGAAACGTACATAGTACGTGTTTAATATCCAATGGAACCGAGTCGGGTAACAGAAATTATGATGCCGTACGATCTATTCGTTTGGACGATTCACGAAACGGGATATTGCGTTTCTAAGTGAGTACCCGTCCTCACAAAGTGTCTTCCGACAAAGAAGATTGCACGTTCGCTGCGCGTTGGGTCACGCGTAATTAGACGGTCTCCTTGTGTCCATGTCGCTGTTTCCGCTGGACAAGGAAACGAACACGGAAACGTCTTGTGAATCGTGACGTGCTTGAAAAAAGCGAAAGCCTCTCCGCACAGGGAGAACTGATCGTCGGTCGTACCGTTACCGTCGTTCCAATTTTATCGTCAGTAGATGACACGACGTGACATCGATGAATGGCTGTTCTCTGGTATTTCACTGTTAATGGCGAGGAACGCTGATCTTCCGAGTTCGAAGACGCGTCGGCCGAAGACGTTCCACGCACAGTACATAATTCGACCGGAGGATCTATTATCTTGTTGTCTCGATTGTTACCAACTCGATTATAGTTCGTTCGCACTTCTCGACGATCGTCTTACGGTTCGAGAATCCACTGAGTTCATTCTCCGTAATGCACACGCCTGCACACGCCGCCGTACATCACGATCATCACACTGACGTCTGCAGAGACGAACGTCCGTGGGATTGATTTCGATTATTTTCGATTATATTTTTCAGGCCAGTATCATGACCGCCGGAGTCGACAATCTCGCCTACGACGCTACGCAAAACGCGGTAAGTTTCTCACTGTAGGAGTTAATTTAAATCGGTCGATGTCAGGGGTAATTGGATCGCTCACTCAATTTCACCTGTCGTTCACCGTCCATTGGACGCGACCTTTCGTCGTTTCGTCTCGAATCGAGGCTACGCGCGAACTACGCGGCGAACGTCCATTCTCCGTCGATTAAAGTAACGTTATCCTTTTTCCTTCGATCGGACCTATGCGTAAACAACGGGGTAGGCGTAGATGAGAACCGCGGTAGTTCCGAGTTTCCATGATTCTACCGTTTAACGATAATCGGTTAGAAAACGTGGGGCGCCGAGCGAAGCCGTCTCGAATCTGCGCTCACGCGTACTTATGCAAATGCGAACCGTTGTCGGATGCAAATTCTCGCTGGGCCAAACGCCGCGGGGCTCGTTGAAACGGTGTGTAAGATATCGCAGTTGTTTATTCCCGCGGGATACCCGACGAAAGGTCGTCTCGTCGACGGAACTGCCGGTTTCATCGGCCACGAGATCTGAACGAACTCGGAGCCCTCGCGTTTTAAAGTTACCAACGTCTCGTTGTCAAGTTGCTCGAAATCGGTTTCAGAGTGATCGCTCGAAACCGTTGACTCTCCTTCGAGAAGTTTTTCAGTTAGCTATCGACTCGAACGTGTCGTCTCGTTCTTTGCCGTGGGACTGAGATTTTCATCGTGAACGACAGAACGTGGTAGAGATGTAGCGGCAACGGTGGAGCAACCTCGGAAGCTTTGATTCGTGCAATTTTTGATCGGATAAGACGCCGGAACCGAATTAATATTGGAAATTGACGAGCGTGGTCGAAGGTCGAAAGGAGTTTTATCGCGGTGGACGACCGAGACGGTCGACACGCGTCGGTGTTTACCGAGAAAAATATGTTTGCCGGATGAAAGCGGTCTTGTGTACGAGACTCGTGTTCCGAGCAGCCGAAGCTCGAACGGGTGGCACCACAATGCGCGTGCAAAGTAAACTCGTTTCAAGCTCGCGGAGACCTCCTTTATTCGAGCTTGCCCGTCCCGATCCCGATTTTCATTTAAAGGGAGGTAGCCGCGTCTGTGAAAGCGGTTCGCGCCGTACCCGATACGTACCGGAACTACGGAACTTCCATGAAGAAAGAACGGACGGAAACCGGGAAGCGGAAAACGTTGTTTTGCTCGAGGAATCTTCGCATTATTAACCATCCCCCAGCGGAACTGCTGTTCTCATATCGGATACGGAACGTCTGAACCGAATCGAATTGAATTCTCCGGAATAGGTAGAGCAGCGGCACGTGGAACGGGAAATCGGTACGAGATTTTTCTACGCGTATGACAAATAGCGTAGTTCGTTACAAATCGGCTCGTCGCTTCTTGTTTTATTAGACACGCGATATTTCCCGTTTCGCAGGGTACGTACGCGAGGGTGGTGGTAGTAACGCAGTTGATTTCCGTGCTTGCGGCGCGCGTGGTCGCCGCAGACTGATTCGATCGAAACGCAATTTCATTTTGCGGGCCGAGCGATTGGAAAACTATTTTTCCAAATTCCTCGATTCGATTGCTTTAAATGCAGAATCGTTGCTGAGAAACACCAACGGAAACGGAATATGGGACGAGAATTCCGAGCAATCCACATATTTTACCAACCGCCCGTTTTCCTTTTACCCCTTTTTTTTTTCACTCCGTCGTTTCTGTACGCCTCTGGCCATTGTCATCGTTGCCTATGGAACTGTCGGTGGAGAACGAAGGACTGATGTTCGGTGGTCGGCCTACGGGCAACGATTGTGCCGCAATTACGAGGAGTAGGCAGCCGTGCGCCATCACGAAGACGTCGAACAGAGAAATAATGGATGTAGGATGGGGACGGGTTCCGGGCGAAGGACGAGCATCGTTGAAATTAATGGGCCGCGGCCAAAAATTCACGAGCATCGCGATCGTAGATACAAGATCACCGTCGGGCCAGGCCGAGCGAACACGTTTTTCATCAGATTCTGCATTACATAAATCGCAGAGACGACCACTTATCACGCTATTCACCAATTCGATCCCGGTCTCGACCAACTAGAATCAAAGCTCTCGATGCTCGTCCACCTCCGATCCGTTTTCAAAATCAACGAAAGGCTCCGGTTAAAACGTCCCCTAGCTTCTATTCGTCTCGGCCGAGCATCATTTCCTATAGCGATACCAATCGACGGATCGCGTCCCCCTTTCGCTCACTTTGAAAAATCCTTTGACTCGCGGGGCAAGTGCATCGATCCTCGAAACCAAAGCGACCGAGGGAAACAGAGAAACTCGTGGAAAACGACAAACCGGCAAAAGAGAGACGGAGTGAAAAAAACGGAAGGAACTTGTGTAAAAGAAACGAAGGGAAGAGCATTCGCAGTGGCTCTCGTTGATCATGATCGAACGTAAAATTCCGACCAGTCGATCCACGCTATCACATTTTTTGCCCGTCGAATTTTTCCATTGAAAGGAGCAACGACGAGTGGCGCGAGCGTTGCGTCGTCGAGGGAAACAGGACGCGGAACAGGAAGCGGGAGAGAGCCAGAGTAGGAACGGAATCAAATTCTGTGTATAAATACGTGCCCGAGTCAGTTTTTGTGGAATTGCGTTCCACGATTTTCGGATAGTGCACAGAAAATTTTTGAGCACCGAATCCAGAAGCAAGTACCGTCAAGGTTCAGTGATCAGTTGGTGCTTTCTCCAATGAAATTACTGGCCATCGATCCGTTGAGACCGAGTGTTTTTGTTCGAACAGAACGCGAGCAATGGCGATCCGATGAAAGCGCGAATCTGTTCGCAGGGCGTTCGATGCCGTCGCTGATACAGAGGGCTCGTTGTGGCATTCGTTATCCGCGGTGTTCCACGATGAAAACGCGAGGAGGACTACGCGATTCCGATGGAACGAGCCGCGATTCGAGTGAAACGACCGACTAAATAGTTGGCTGCGCGGGATTTCGCGAGTAAAACGGCTCGGCGGAGGCGCGGCGGCGGCGGCGTGCCGCGGTGCCATTTAATCTGAATTAACGAGCTGTTTGCCGCGTTCACTTTATGTCCGACCACGAATCGAGTTACTTCTGAATGGAGTCGTTAGGAATGCTCGAGACCGACTACAGCATCTCGCAGTTTCCAACTTCCGGACGAGCGTGACCCGTCACGGTCGTCGACGACGATAATTGCCACGTTCAGGAGTCATTTCCCACCGAAGCTGGCTGTTTCGATCATTATACCGGTTGTCGGAGCCAATTAATTGAAATTGCAATTAAAATCCTTTGCACTTTGCCGACAGTTTTACGGAGCTTCGCTCTGGAGCGACACGATAAATCGCAAGGCTCGGTGTGATTTGGAAGATGTGGGGACATCGTAGATAGGCGATGAAGGGAGAACAAACGCACTGGTCAGAGTCGTTGGAAAATCGCTGTTCCCTAGGAATATTAATTACAATTGCGGTCTTGGCCAAGTTTCGATCTCGGACAAAGTCGAGGGAGTTGCCCACGTATGAACGCGTCCAATGCCCGAGTGAGAACGGGAGAGAACAAGAGAACCATTATAGTGTACGCGTGACAAAAAGGAAGTGAAAGCAAGAATTTAGGCGACGAACGTCGTGAAAAACGAGCACGCTGCCGTCTCTCTCCCGTGAGGGACTCCTCGCGCAGGCGGCGACGGCGACAGCGACGACGAATACGGCTACGACGTCGACGCGAAGGAAAAAACGTGACGGCATAAAAGAACGCACGAACATCGAACGTGACGGAAGCGCGTACAAAGCTCTTTTGAGGCTCGTTTTCATTTGGAAGCCGAGCGAGCGTCGAGTGCCAGCAGCACCGAGAGAGCCAGCAGCCTGACTGCGAAACGAGCCGCTACGACCAGGGAGGAGAACGGTGCGAAAAGTGCGAGAGAGATCTAGGGGGCGAACCGCGAAAATGTATTCCATTATACGCCGCGTTGTAAGAACATCCGGACCCGTTTTCCTCGCTAGTCACTCTTTACCAGCCAGCACCCACGTCGATTGTCGTCGTGGCCATCACGATAAATCTGTTTCACGCGTTTCAAACGCGAGCAACACAACGATGCGCCTTCGCCTTTCTCTCCGGTCTGCGGAAAACTTGACCGATCAACGACACTCGTGACAGAGAGACCGAACGCACGAAATTCTTGACGAACAGAATCGACGGCAACGTTTTTCACTCGTACGCGTAGACCGTTTTCGTAGGTGTTGATCGATTCAATAGGAGATTATTAAAAACTTGCTCCGTACACGCAGGACGGGCCCACCCACGATCGTAGGCGAGCGTGACACGCGCCGTTGCTCAGTCCCTCGTACGGGCGTCGGGGAAACGTGACCGCGACCTTCGTGTGCCGAAGTTTCTCATGAAAAATTCGATCGGCTCAGTTGCCACTTATTAATCGAAGCTGGCATCGTAAAGACGGTGAAAAACGTCGAGCAGAAAGAGAGATCGTAGGCGCGGAATAGAATTCGTGAACGAATTCGTGCGAAGAAAGCGTAGCGCTCGGGACCGGAAGTCATCCATCTTTATTAAATCCACGAAATTTATGTCTAGGCGGTCGCGTGGCCGTCGAAACGTGCGCGCCGTCGCGTCCAACGGCCCCGAAAGGGTATTTATCCCTCTCGGTGTTTCGAGCGCGTGATCCGCACGTTTGCTTTGGGCAAACGAACGTCGGACACACGGTTCCCGTCCCTCGGCATTGTCCGGCGAAAGGCACACACGCCCGACGGTATATTGCGTTTTTTCTTCTGCTCCCGGTTAATGTCTCTGCCCCCTTCGATGTCCGCGACGCTCGTCAAACAAAATCGTACGTCAACGTCCGTTTGATGAACGCGCGGCATTCGATTCGTCGCGTCCGGTCGCCTTCGGCGAAATTTGTACGATGGATTTGTCGTTCGGTGGATTTGGACGGACCTTGGAAAATGTCATGGCTTCTCCAGTCACTTGTGCCACTTCTGAATAATACTTGTTCTATCGAGGATCGTTGAAACAAACTGCTAATTATTTAAACTACTGAGACGGACAGCGACGCGAGTGTCTTTGTGTTGAGTCGATGCAGTTTGCTGTAGGACGCAGCTGCCGTGCGAGTGTAGTAAGATGACGGAATAAAAGCAACGGGACGGAAAACGTAAAAGAGGGAAATATTTTATAGAGACTTCCGGGAGTTGCTCGTATTTCAAGACGGGGTAGGTCGGGCACGCGATATCAACCGTAGAGGACATGTTTGGAATTTACGACGGTAATAACCTAAGTAAGTATATGCAGGCTCGAAAAGTTTCGAATAAATCGTCCCTGTACGCGTCACGGTACGCTGTACCGCCGGTTCAGGGAGAACCGCGGAAGGACGTTCTCGATTCGCTCGCGTTCAAGTGATGAACACCGGTCAAGGGCAACTTGCCGATCACTGAACGCGTACGTACAGATGTTGGAGAATTCTGTGGGACCTCTTAGAACGACGGTTAATCATGCGCCGTAGTAGAATTCGTTGGAATTGTCCGCGTCTTGTGCCGTTCGACGCTGATCGTTCTAGCGTGGTCGAACGGCACGCGCTAACGTCGGCTAAACTCGAACGGCGTAACGTTAATGGAACGGCCGAAGATAAATGCGTCGCTCGATACGGAGCATTGAGAAACTCGTTACAACGGAAACCCGGAAAATAGCTGAAACTTCGGGCCATCAGCTTCGTTCATTGCTCGCGACTCGGGGGTCGCAGTTTATCTCTTTGGACGGTAGTGCGCGATAGCTCGGTTCGCTGCGGTCAAAAGTCCGACCTACGCCAAGGGAAACACGGTTTACGCGACGCTCGACGCTAAAACTCGCACCTCTGGCTCATTTTTCTCCACGCATGACGAGAAAACGTTGAACAATAAAACAGATTTGACTCTTATAAACTTCCGACTGCGCACGGAGGATTGTTAAGATATCCACTTCTCGAGGAGTTGAAACGTCGTTAAAACTTGTAAATGTTACGGTGGTACTGAATCGGTATGGTTGGAGAGTGGCACGGTCCGTGTTCCTATTTTAAAAAGTAATACCACTTGCAAGTGGTGTAGCAGAGAACGGTTCAGCCATCGATTCTGTAGAACGTACGCGCACGTACAATGCCCTGCACACCGTCTGAACCTTTGAAAATGAATTTGATCAAACGCTCGTTTATCGAGTAATTAGTTGAACGCCAAACGAGTAGAACCACCTCTGCGCACGTCGGCTGATCCTTGCTTGATCATCGGTGCCACAAAGGGTCCTCGAGAGTCGTGTCGATAGTGCTCGCGATCTGCGCGATTATCGCGTTTTTAATTAATGAGCCTTATCGGACGCGACGTGGCAGCCGGTTTTTTCGAATCTCGTGCGAAGCAACAGCTAGTAGGGTCGGTTCACGGTGCGTCGTGTCGGCGAGCAAGGGGTGAAAGCGGTGGCTCTGGGGGTAGGCGGACTGAGTGCAGAGGGTGCAGAGGAACAGAGAAACGAAGGAAGCGAGAGCGAGAGGGCGGATCGGTAGAAGGGGATGAAAGGTCCGGCAGAGAAGGGGAGTTCGAAGGAGGGAGAGAGAAAGAGAGAGAGCGAGGAAAGAGGACGGATGATGTCTGTCGTGGCGGAGTAGCAGCAGTGGTAGTGTATACGGTGTTTTAACTCGCCGGTAAAACTCTGAGAGCACGAGCTCGCGATCCTCAGTCGCGTGTGACACGCGGCCTCAGTCGCAGCGTCCGCGGTCAGGACCGTTTCTCGCGTGCGAACCACCACGTTTGCGTTCATGAGTCGGAACTTGTTGCGACGGAGAAGTCGAAAGTGGAGGTAGTGGCCGAGGACCGTGTCTCGAACAGTTTCTCGATTTCGACCGTTCCTACTCGACGATTCGACACTGATGCTTACGCAGAATTCAGATTTACCGTTTCTACCAATGGTGAAAGTGAAACGTTTTTGTACCAAATGATAGTTTGAAATTCTCCTTGTCGAAGATTGGACGATTCACGTTGGACAGGCCTTTTTTTTTGTCGGCCTGATGAACAACATCGTATAGACGAGCGACGTGGTCGATCGGCCGAGTCAGCGTCGGCTTCAACCAGCTCGGCTCGAAGAGACGCGGGTCAGATCGCGAGTCGAAAGGAAACGCGTCAAGCGTCCTGCGATCGGCTCCCGTTAAAACGAACCAAGTATTCTATCAACAGGTTCGTTCGGCGGACGCGACGCAGTGTAACGCCGAGATTAAAAAGCCGAACAGTCGCTCGCGGATCGAGAGCGGAGGAGCGACTCGTTCAATCGCGCGCGACGCATCGGCGCGAGAATTATAAATTCCCTCGGGGGTGAAATTATGAACCTCGACGCGATGAACGTTTCATCGTGGACGAGACGAAACGAAGCTGGTCGGTCACTCGTGCGAGAAACGATGTCTCGGAAGAATTTATAACGACGAACGGACCGCGATCGAATCGTTCTTTGACGACGCGTGCGAAGCTTCCGAGGAGCGTTCGAGCTGGAACTGGAAGCGAAACAACCGTGTGAGAGGTGCGCGGATACACGCTCGAAAGAAACGGAGAGCGTAATTCGGACGTTTGACATAACATAATGCGAATGTACCGATGCGAAAAAACATTGACGACCGAATTGAACGACGTCGTCGTTCCTCGATGTGAGGGAAACGGGCGTTTGAATCGAGTCGCTGGAATTACGGAGGTTAACGAATTGCTGGAGGATTCACGGGAATTTGCTGTTGGAACCGGAACTTGCGACGTCTAACGTCGTGACCAACTCGAGAATCGAACCAGAGCGGTGAGAGAAAAGAAACGAACAGAAGGCAAGTTGGAAGATCCAGATGCATTCCGGCCGACGACCTCCGAGGAGTGTATCTTTAATCAGAAAGAGAACGAAACGGCCATCGCCGAATCGATTTCGGATCGCGTGCAAGCTGGAAGAAACTGTCGTTTCCTCCGTGCACGATAATATTCGTCGTCCGTCGACAGAGGCGGCTCGTAAGCCGAGTTTCCACGGGTAGACAAGAATCGGCGAACGAAGAGGCGTGACCGATTGCCGGAAGTTCCGTTTTCAACGTTTTCCGCCTTCGCCCCAGGCGATGAGAAACGGCTTCGCGGGACGTGACGCGCTCGACGAATCCGCGATCGCGTCGAATATGTTGCCCGGTAGTCTCGGTCAGAGACGATCGTCGCTTCTTTGAGAGAACGCGGTGCAGGGAACAGGGAGAGCGTGCCGATCGTCGAAGAAAGCAGCGGAAACGAAGGAGATGTCACGATCCGCGCGTAAATAGAATTTGCACTAGAAACGTATCGGTGGTCGCGGAAGTATCTGCGCGGTGTCGTTTCTTTTAAAGGAGGGACGAGAAGAGGCGAGAGTCATGAGAGATAAATTTGTGTTCAACGTAAGTGTCCTGAAAATATCGGATTCTGCCGATTATTTTAAGACGTCGTCGCTCGATCGATCGCCTTGGGTTCGTGCGAGTCTTCCGCGATTTCCTCGCTTTCGATTTTTCACAAAGTTTCACTCGAGGCACGAATTCTCCATGGGCGTAACGGCGATAGTCAATGTTAGCTAATATAATGTTACAGAAAAAGATAATCGATCGTCTGACCTTAATAACGAACTATTCATTAGCTTATCTCCTACCGACAATTTTCACCTATCACTTTCACGGTATTTTCACATTTACGTATGTACGAAAAAGTATAAAATGTCCAGAAACTATTTTTCATTCGGCTATATGGCTCGATTCGTCTCACGGCTCCAGTTACAAGTGATCAACGTTATCGAAGGTTTGTCAACGGAACGAATCTCGCTTAAAGTTTAACAGCATAAGAATCGGGCAGCCCGACGAAATCAGGCATCGGGAGTCGCTAGCCTGGACTTGACGCGTAAAGGTAAAAGCTGATACGATTGCAACCGATAGCGGGCACATAGCGTAAAAATAACGTTTATACGGTCCGCACCATAGAATTTCCGATATCTAATGACTCCGCGTGTACATATTACATTCGCGTTTCCAGCTCCTCCCGTGCAATTGTTAATTTCCTTTCTCACGAATAATATGTTGGTTGTGACAGAGTCGCGTGATCGCGGCCCGATATCGATTTCCACGACTCGAGTCTGAGCCGACTCGAGTGAGGAGTAGATATCGGCAGGACGTGTCCAGAGCCAATTATCGGCTCGACTGTTATTATCATACATATTACCTGGCATCGATCATCGCGACTCGATCCCGTGGGTGTCAACGGCACGATGTGATTTACAGTCGGGGGTGCCGGACATGCACGAGTCCCTGTCCACTTTTTCGGACCAGTTCAACGGGCCGACCAAGCCGGAAATAAAACCGGAAGAAGCGAAGGAGCCAACGTGCGGATGGTTCTGGTTCACGCCGGGGTACCTGCAACGATTTAGAACCGCGAAATGGGCACTGTTCTGGTTATGCTGGACAGGTGCGCTGCAAGGTGGGTGTGTAATTTAAATTTTCGAGCCCGAGCACCGGCAAACCCATTCGCATTATCGCTTTAATTCGTGAAACGTGAGAGATGAAGCGGACCAGCCAGAGATACCAGCCGTGTATACGTCGACCGTCTGGGAGATGAGAAACGTGAGATCGACTCTTGAAAACATTGCTATATTTTTGAGAATTTTCTACGAATCGTGTTGGCGTTACGCGCGGCTACGCTCGTCGATCCGTTAAAACTTGAACGTCTAACGACAACGCGAAACTCGCGACGGACGTTCGGAACGATAGACCGGTGAACGCGGGCGTGTCGAAAGCTCGGATATTAAAAATTGCGTCGATCATAAACGTGACGTTTCCCGGTACAACGACGAAACAAACGTGCGAACTACGTGTCGCGTTAGTAGATGCGCGCACGCACCCAGACACGGTAGCGCGCGTCTACGCGTACTCCGGCTGATTGACTCGGATATCCCCGTTTGGCGTTACTAATAGCCGTGCATTCGAATGCAATTTCGAAGCTTTCACGGGTGCCACGAAAGGGGTCGACGGTGACTGACGATAACCGGAAATCGAGTTTTCCGGGCCGGTGGCAGGAGGTCGACGCTCCGCGGGGTGGGAACAGAGACGAAAGGAGCGAACCTGTCGAGACCGAGACGAAAAGGGCCAGCGCACGCCGTGTGACGAAGGTCGTCGACAAGACGAGCCAGGCCACCAGAAGAGGGGGACAGGGTAGGGTAAGGGGATCGAGAGGGAAGAAAAGGGCGAGCAGTGAACGCACGGGTACTGAGGGCACGGGGTACTCGGTCTGAACAAGTTCGTTCGTTCATTCGTTCGTCCCCCTTCTCCTTTGATGCGCGACAAAAGAAATCGTCCTGTGGAGGTCCGTGCCTTCCCTACTACCGCGGCTAATCAGATCGGGCAAATTGCTGGACAATGAAGTCGGCAGTCGTCCGTATAAAGTCGAGAATAAGTTGGCCGGTGACGAAATACGTATACGGCCGCGTGACCGAATAACGTGGATCATAATCGATTTCGTGTAGAACGCGTAACAGCGAAACCAAGTAGTAGTAGAGAGATCTTCCTGCCGGCAAGAACGAAGCCAGAAACGGTGGTTGAAAACGTGTGCACTCCTCGCGACGATTGACCGTTACCGTCGATCCGATACCGATCACCGTAAATACTCGATGAATCGATAAAGGGAACGAGGCTAGGATAAGTATTCGTGTTACGGAGCGCGTAAAAGATTTCACAGTACGTAATTTTATAATGCGATATTATTAGCGGGAGTGCGAACAATTTTACGGGTACGCTGGTATACGCGACAGAAATCGAGGAAGGGGAAGAGAATTGGCCGGCACAGCTGGAGAAACAAATTGGCCACCGGGCACACACCGGTTTTAATTAAAATCCTCGTACTAGCGGTACAACGGGAAACGAAAGTGGTTCATTTTCCGGGTAGACAGACGCCGGATACGACGGTCGTTCTAGCGGTCTTCTTGCTCGCTGGCGGCGACCGCCTACGAACAAGCTGATGCGATGGACATCGGTTGACTGCCATCAGACAGCCTCTAACGAAAACTGTTGGATCGCCAAGGGTGCGGTCTTAATTGATCCGAATTAGTCCGAATTGGTAGATGCGAGTCACGGTTTACAATTGAACTTGGTCACGATAGAGTCACCGTTTACACCTTCTGAGAGGAATCATGTTTATGTATCGTTAGAAACGGTCGAGTACCGTTCGGACAGACGCGTTCAGGCTCCGTGGAACGAACGCACGGACCACGTTCGATTCAGAGGCGATTAGCGTCCGGTACATTCGTGAGAGAGAAGTGTTTGACAGATTTTTATATACGTTCGAGCGAGTGATTTCTTCGAGGGGTTGAGCGGATACCGGCCGGTAGCCGAGGGGAGACCGTGATTCAATTAGTTTACCCTCTTCCGATTCGTTTACACGCGGCACGCGGATTTGCTTTGGAGGATCAGCGCGGCGATATCAGGGATGAACGGTGTTGTTGTTTGAGAATGGGAACGACACGGCGGCGGCGGCGGCGGCGGCGGCGGTGGCGGCGTGTCGGATCGAGGTGTATTATTAGGAGCATTCGTATCGATCGAACGTTTCTTCCGGCCGTTTAACTCGTTATCCGGGGATCGATGGAAGTCGGTTTACCTTACAGTTGTACGGCGTTCGAGTAAAATTAAAAATAAGGCGATTTAAAGATAGAGCCGGGTCAACTGCTTGACTGATCGCTCGCTCGACCGACCCCACCCCGATCCGTCTGAAATATTAAGTGGACAAATGAAAAAGTGTCAACACTTAATAAGTAGATACGGAAATCGAATCTGTAACGATCGTTTCGTAAAATCGGTTTACGATTGAGGAGCGAGCTTAATCACATGATAACTACATATAGGAACGGACAGTAGGAATCAATCACGTTCGATTTGACTCTTCCAGGAATGGTGGTGAACGGTTTCGTGAACGTCGTCATAACTACGATAGAGAGGAGGTTCGGTTTGAGATCGTCGCAGACCGGTCTCATAGCAGGTGGATATGACATAGCCAGTTTCTTGATCCTGGTGCCAGTGAGCTATCTGGGTGGACGCACGAAAGCATCGAAACCGAGGTACGACGAACATGCTGCGCATCGTAACGTTCGGTGGCTCGTGCACGCATGTACGTATGGGCCGTGTACGAGCCATTGTCCCGCCTATTAATATTAATACCGATTAATACCGATATCGGCGCACTCCGACAGTTTTCATAAATATTAATCCTAACGTCAGCCGGGCGGACAGCGTCGACGTTAATCTCCGTCCCGTTCCTTCGCTTCGACGCTTTCAGGCTTCGAACCCCACGTTCGGCTGCCAGGGTTCGATCCTTGATCGATGATCGATGACGCTTGGAATCGGTTGAACGCGCGATCTCGAGGTCTGCACGTTCGCGCACGTCAACATTCGTTTCGTAGATCGAGGGGGCAGAAGACCTGCTCGGACACCGACTAAACCCTTCACGTTCACCCTTAAATGCAGCGAAAAAAAAGATTCTTTGAACTATGATTGTTCGATAACTGCGTGCAAGCACTGATTTTGTTTTTGACAGGTACATAGGCATAGGTGTTCTAGTATTAGGCTTAGGGAGTCTGCTCTTCGCTTCTCCGCACTATCTCGCTGGACCGTACAGAGGTGGTCAACAGTCGGAGAATATATGTCAGAGGGTGACCAACACGTCTTCTCGTTCGGTGAGTAATGAGTGAAAGAACCAAGAGTAACTCGTCTGTAAAAATGTCGAATGACAACGAAAAACCGATTCACAGGAGAAATTATTCTATTTCGTTTGTACTTGATCTGTCCTACTTTCGATTCGATCGTGTATTTTTGTCGTTCAGCCAGCTTGTAACGGATCCGTGGGCCAAACGGACCAGGAGCCGTACAGCGGCTTGTACTTGACCATCTTTCTCGTGGCCCAACTTCTACACGGAGCTGGTTCCGCTCCTTTTTATACTCTCGGGGTCACGTACATAGACGAGAACGTGTCGAAAAAGATGTCATCCGTCTACGTAGGTAAGAGACCGAACTGTCTTCATTACTAACTGCGAAGCTTCTGCCGTAAAAGATGTATCTGTGATGAACGCGGTATCGGGTCTACAGCCACCGACGTCCACCGACGAATTAAAATACGAGCGTAGCCCCTATAATTGATTATCATCTTGTCCAGGAATATTTTACACAATGGCCATAATAGGGCCTGCGTTGGGGTACGTGATCGGAGGCGAATTGTTGAAGATCTATACAGACTTCCTCACCGTGGACCCGTCGGAGTGAGTCTGAACGCAAATTTTTACACTAGACACGGCATGATTTTCAAACTATCGTTACGCTCGTTGGAATTCATCGTTGGAATTCATCGTTGGGATTCAGAGTTGAAACTTGGTACGCGTCGCTAAGTATGATTTCGTCCCCGGTACGATCGATCATTGTTATTAATCAAACGAACAAGAGACGATCTTGTGGAATCTTGAACGCCATCGAGAACGTTAAAAGTTGTCGACAGCCTCGGCCATTGTCCGCGTTCATTATGCGTTTCCCACAGCCGAAGGGGTCGGGTTCATAGTCGTCGAATGCCGATGGGGAATCACGCGTAATGGGTGCACCGTTGGAATTTGTCGGCTCTCGTGTCGCAATCCGTTAAACGTGTTTCTCACTATCTTTTCCCGCTCGCTCACTTACTCTCTCTGCTCTCGTAGAGGGTTCGCGGAGCGTTTACCATCGCGCGGTAACTTTATTAAACTCTCGCTCCGACTTGTCGGCCTGTCCGATAATAACACTAAAAATCCGCGACTGCGAATTTGCGAAACGGCATATTACCGTGTCCGGTCTTGTCCTCTCTCGTCTAACCAAGTATGCCAAGACGCGACGACGAGAAGGCGAAGGAACAACTCGTATGTATCAACGTAACAGTTAATATCCGGTAGACGCGCAAATACGAGCACGTAGAGCGACATTATTCGCCGTCTCCCTGAAAATTTCAAACTTTATATATCCGCGTCTTGCACGCGTAAATCCACGTCGGTGGATCTCCCGAAATTAATCATGGGACCTTGAGCAAGCGTCCAAAGAGGCGGAGGACGGCCGCAGCAGTAGCATCGTGAAGAATGGCTGGGGATAAAAATTTCCCGGAACACCGCGCGGACCGTGGAAAATAGAATTTTCACGGCTGCACGGGGATCTTGCTTTAAACGATGCACGAACAACGCCGCGAGGAGAAGGCGAGGAGAAGGCGAGGTAACGGGCAGGGAACGATGCCGTTTTCCACGAGGTATCGGCTTTTTATCATCTATTTTTATCGTATCACGGCCTTGAAGCGACACCAACGACGACGCTTCGCAGAAGTGATCTCTCCCCCGGGCCATGACGAAACGTCGTTAGACGTGTTTGCATCTTTTAATTACCGACTTCTCGCCCCCTGACGCTTTAACGAAGATACTAGTTTCTCGTTTTTCATCGTATTAATCAACGCCTCTGCCAATTTATTACTGTTGAAAACGGGGGCCAGTTAACAGATTTATGATACAAATTTGCTTACACTGATTACTGTGAACGTGTTACCATCCTCCCTGGCCCTATTAGCGAATTCTGATGGTGGAACGACAGCTGATTCATGTGGAAAATTCGAGAGTATAGAACTTGGGACACGTGTTAGAGAACGGAAATCTCTTACGATCGTCCAATTCGATTTGCCGTATCACGCGCGCGCGCGCAAGGGACAGTGCGTCGACGAGACGCGAGAGGGGATTAATTCGATTCTCAGGATGCATCGCGTAGCAGGGGTAGTGGCCGAAAGAAAAAAGATGGGGGTTGCTCTCCGCGGGGAAGCGAGTAGACAAATGAAACTTGATTGTGCTCTAAGTTTTGGGGGGACGAAGCGACAGTTTTGAAGGATAACGCATCGGCGTCGTCGTCAAACATTGGTTCACCGCTTGACATTCTCCCCACGGGCCTCGGTGCGCGCGTGTATATACGTGCTGTTCGCGGGGTCGCATCCACTATTAATCGCGGCCCATTATACGCTCTAACGATCCCACGGCCTATGGGACATGTTCAACGGGGATCGTACGTCGAAAATGAAAGTCGCGTGAAAATTTTTCGCGGGGGGTGCAGTCGGTGAACTTGGTCGAATCGTAACGTGACCCAAATCGAACCCTTATTAGTCGCGACACAGATTCGAGTTAATCGTCGTACATGTCGAATATTTCAAGATCTATTTACGACCCGATACTCGGATAATGGCACGTCCGTTTCAATTATCGTCGTCGTTCGTAACCACGGCACGAGCCGTTCTGTTGTCTCGTGAATTTTTCACGTGCTCGGTCACGTTGCACCGTGATTGTTAATATTACAGACCTCCTGTGTATTTTTAATTTTACCGTTCGCCTTGTACCGACCAACGTATAAGTACGGAATCGTTGTGAAATCGCTTACATTTTGCCCGATTAATATTGCCCGGTTCTGTTTAAACGTCGGGGAGGCAAGAAACTATTATGGTAACAGCCTACGTCGGAAGGAGACGAAACCTCCGAGACAGAGGGACGGAGCGAGAAGTGGTTCTCGACGAAAAGACCGAAATTAAAAAGTCCAAAACACCTCGCGTCACCGAGGGCAACAGATTTAGAATTTGGAGGGCGAGGGGCGTTCCTCCTGGATACTCGAGTTTAAGGATCAGTTAGAACGGGCGGGTCGCGCAAAAACTGAGGGGACGGAAGGGCAAACGACGATTTCTTGTGGGTGTAGCGCGGTCGAGTCCGGTAAGGGATGATCGCGCAGTTAGTCAGCCGTTTCTCCAGCGATCAATCACCCCTTCGGAGTCGGGTTTTGCCGAGAAAAAATTAGCCGAACCCGGTGGCGAACGTGACTTGGTGCGGGAGAAGAATCAGTTACCTAAAGCCTCCGTTTGGTCAATCGATAATTCATACTCTTCTCGTGCCGTGTCGAATCGATGGAATCGGAAATATCGCGTGCACTCGGCCAGATTAAAGTACTGATTAAATTTTTCACTGCCCGTTATAAAAACAAATTTGATCTTGAACGAGTCGGAACTGACGTCGCTGACCTGACCCTCGTTTTCCCGTCGAATTGTAAAGACAAAGTGAGACAAGTTGGCCAATCCCGGCAATCCCGCCGACGTGTAACGATCGAACGTCAGACGTTTCATTGGCACCATTGGCAAAGATGCGTGAGAACGTTACAGTAGCTGCGACACGGTAATCGAAGAACGTGTCGTTGTCCCCCGTTGAGATGGACAACGTCGCTCAAGACTTGCTGATCCTCAATTTGAAATTCGATTATCGTAACCCGTAAACGACGAAAGTTTTAATGTATCACTCCGGCAAACGGAATTCCCCGAGTTTTCCGCAAACTTAAATTGCGCGCCGTAGCGAACGCGATCCGCAATAATTTGCGAACGAAAGATCCACGGGCTCCAACGTTTCGTGATCTTTAACGAACACGAGCGTTCCCTCGAACATTGTTATTTTTTGCCTCCAGATTTCGGTGAACACTCAAACGACAGAAAAATTATCACGACTTCTCGTCGGAATCCAAATCGGGCGCGATCGTTGTCCGATCGGTATCGTTTTACGCGTTGTTCAATGGGGAACGGTGCTGCAATTAGCCGGAAAAGTTGGAAAGCTCTCGGTCGGTGGAGAATTTCTGACTGGCTCGCGCGATTAAAAAAGCGGAAAAACAGGTAATCGGGCAGCTGCGTCCGGAAGTTTCGCGACGGAAGAGCAATCCCGGCCAACTCGTCTCGCTGTATCCACCCGCCTGCCTACGGGAGCCCGTGGTCCGCTGTACCGTTTCCCGGATAATTACATTCTTTCCCGAGAATCCTTGGCTCGCGGTTCTTTTTTTGTTTACGTGCGGCCTACTTTTCGCCAGAGTTTCGTTCAATATCACCGGCCAGGCCGCTTCGACGCAGTTTAAAAAAAAAGAAAAGAAAAAGAAATGAGATCGACCCGCTTCGCGATATTAGCGTCGACGAGTCTTCACCTCGTCTTCGTTTAAAACGTTGCTCTCGAGTAAATTGACAGAAAGACCTAAGAACGAGAAAGATGAAAATTGAAAAATACGCTTCCGAACCGGAGAGATCGATATCGATTGAACCACCGGTGGTCGAGACGAACGAGATTTAGTACATGGCTGAATTCCAACGTAGAATTCGAACTTGTAAAACGAGACCGACGAAGTAGTCCTAGCGGAGACGAACGCGCGGTGGAGTTTAACGGTTGATAAAATAATTTTGCAGAATCGGTTTGACGCCGAACAGCAACGTTTGGGTCGGAGCGTGGTGGATAGGGTTCCTAGGAGCCGCGGTTCTGTGTATCGCGATCGCCATTCCGATTCTGGCGTTTCCAGCAGCTTTGCCTGGTACTCGAGACTCGTCCAACGACGAACCGTTCTACGAACGAACGAACGAACGAACGAACGAATGAACGAAAGAATATACGGAACGCACTGTTTCATTAGGTTCAGAGGAACTGGCGAAGGAGAGGGTATCGGAGGCGCACCAGAAGCCGAAGGCGTCGTCCTCGAGAGATCGGGGTGAAGCGCTCTCGAAAATGCGAGAACTGCCCCGAGCACTGACCGATCTGCTCGGCAATCCGGGCTTTTTCATGTTGAACCTGGCAGGTGCCAGTGAGGGATTGCTGATGGCCGGTTTCGCCGCGTTCCTGCCGAAGCTGATCGAAAATCAATTCAACGTCAGCGCAAGCTCGGCCGCGTTACTAATGGGTGAATAATAATAGTCGACCACTCCGTTTCGATCGGTCAAAATAGCACCCTCCCTTTCTGGTAGACGCTCGATCGTCGACGTTTCTCGCGAAACATGGAAACATTTTTTACCACGTTTCCATCTTTTTTCAATGAAACGTCGACCGTCCGGTACGCGTGTTCGCATAAATCATTCCGGATTCACTCGCGTCTCGAGATTCGTCCGTTCCAGTCGACCACCACTGGCCGACACTCTCGGGCCGTCGAACGACCAGAGGGCCCGGAATCCCTCCGTTACTTTTTTGTCGGTTTCTAGGTCTGGTCACCGTGCCCGCAGGCGGCGGCGGTACCTTCCTGGGCGGTTATCTCATAAAACGATTCAATTTGCCCTGCTCGGGCATTTTAAAGTTCTGCTTGTTGGCCACCGCTTCCTGTATCGCCTTCGCTCTGTGCTTCGTCCTGAGCTGTCCGAATTTGAACTTCGCCGGAGTCACGGTACCCTATTCGGATCAAACCAAGTACGTGAGCGCCTCCCGTTCCTTTCCACGAGTCTGTACATTTTTTTTTTCTACCAACGATTAGAACGTCTGATCGACCTTCCTTCTTCTCGCCGGGAATACGAAGATTGAAAAAAATAAAAAAAAAAAAAAATAAAATGATTCTATACTAAATCGTGAGACGTTACCGCGACTCGAGGCAATCGCAGATTCATCCGTACATTTTCACGTTTCCAGAAAATCTTTCTCGTTGGACGACGCGTGCAACAACGGTTGCGGCTGCTCAAGGTCGGAGTTCAATCCGATATGCGGAGTCGACGGGATCACGTACTATTCCCCTTGTCACGCAGGATGTCATCGAGGAACGCGGATAAATAACGTAGAAGTTAGTATTACTATTATATCTTATCGCGCTTAACACGCAAGCCGGAGAACGTCTGCGCCCTGTTTCTCGGAATTTCGTTTAGGCACCGTAAATAATTTCGGTGAACGCTCTCACCGCGATGTGTACCACGAACTCCGGAAATTAATCGCGCAAATGAATCACTTTAGTCGGTCTTGAAGCATATGAAGGTATGTTCGCGTCGCAGGTATATTCGGAATGCATCTGTATACGATCGCCGCCGATGAATCTGACTAACGGGAACGACGCGATCAGTTACGAGGCAACGAACACTACTTGCGACACCTCGTGCTCCTACCTATGGCCCTTCGTCGCGCTGGCGTTTTGCAACATGTTCATAACGTTCCTCTGTACGATGCCCGCGCTGTCCGCGACGCTTCGCGTCGTACGCGACGATCAGAGATCGTTCGCTTTAGGCATTCAATGGATCAAAGTTAGAATACTGGGCACTATACCGGCACCAATGGTGTTCGGTGCTCTCATAGACGATACCTGTATTCTGTGGAACGAAACGTGCGACGGCGGAGGGTCCTGCCTCGTTTACGACAATTTGTACATGAGTAGGTACGTACAGAACGATCTCGACCTGGAGTCCCGTTCAATGAAACTGTCCGTTCCGGTCGAACAATATTAATTCTGTCGTAGATACATGCTCGCGTTAGCCTTTCTCGGCAAAGCGGCGTCTCTACTTTTCTTTTTCCTGGCTTGGTGGACGTACATCCCCCCGGAAGGCAGGGCCACGGAAAATTCGCGAGACGAACCAACGACGACCTTGATGTTGAACGACAACACTCCCCATGAAGCACCGACCTCACCCGCGACGATAAACGCTATAATCGATACCTGAACTACTCGATCTCGCGTTCCGTTCGAGCGCATAACGACCTCCAACGTTCAGCGAACAGGTTCAAAAGTATGTACATAATTTATCGTCTCATTCCATCACGATCACGATCGAAATTGTTTGCTGGTCAGAATCTGATGTCACAGACGCGACGTATACGTTCTCGACGGTAAATACATGTCCTATTTGTTTTTTGCCATGAGTACTTCGCGTTTAAGGGTCGACTGTTGGTAAACGATTTGCAAATCTTAGGTGCAAGAGTGCTTCAGGAATTGGTTGGAAGTTGTACAGGTACGTTCGTGTGCGATAAGTAGAATGTTCCGCGTGCGAGCTATTCACTGCCAAAATTGTAGTAACATGAAATAGTCTTCTAACATTCTGTCGGGTGCCGCGACAATTCTCTACTTTTTATATCGACGGATGAAACAGACGGGTGTGCCTGTAGTACTCTTCTATCACGTATGTCTTTGCAATCAAATAGTAACCAGGGTACTTTACGCAGATGCTGCTACCTACGCTTTTCGTATTATTCTATGAAAATGATAGTCAATAATGGATCGAGGATGGCTAACGAAATCATCTACGATCATACATTATCATTGATATAATTGTGTCGTTCCCTATTATCTGATCTTGACGTGATTAAACAGGAGGAACGTAGTTAATGTTAGAGATAGAGGAAGTCGTTTTACGTCTTATTTATGCAGTATATATGTACGTAATTGTTATAGCAAACAGCTAGATAGACGATTGTATCACTGAAAGAAAAACATTGTTTTTCATAGGATTAAATCATATTCGTACTATGTCGTTGCTTGTATAAAAACGAACATGTGTATGATAGTACCGTGTACCGATGTCACAGCGAATGTATCGATGTTTATAAGAGATATAACATAGTTCCGACATCGACTCTGGCACATCCCATTTTACACGTTGAATAAAATATGTATACATGTAACTTTGGAATCCCGTACGTAAGATTTTATACGTCGCGTTCAAATGTATCCGCAGGTGCGTAACACGCACATAGAATGCGAATATATTTAGTTATTTAGACATCGAAGAAGCGAAGGATGTCGAGCGCTTTTTAAAAACAGTATTCATAAAAATTGAGGCGACGAAACCGTCATTCGTATCGGTTTCACGCATCGAGCTCGGCGTACAGCTCAATGGTTTGATATAAAACATTTTATGCGATTTCTAATTGTAATTATTTTTGTTATAAAGGAATAATGTGTGTCTAGCACGTGTATTATACGTGTCGTCAATAAAGAACCAGTAACGTATAAGATAAAATTGAAAATTGAAATATGTTCTCTGACCCTCTTCTCAACGGACAATCGTTGAATTTGCAACGCTGATATCGAATCAATAATTTACAAGTAACGAATACTCTTTGACTCACTTATCATGACTCTACGGACACTTACCTGTCCTAACTTTGAGCAAGTTATACTTGTAGACGATTTGAAAATATCGATTCGAAACTTTTGCACGCTTCCATTGCGGACACCGACTTGTGCGCCGTTACCTCGATCATCCGCCATTTGCTTTTTCCAGCTTTTTCCTCTCCGCTCCTCTAAGTAACTCAAGCGATTTTCCCAGTCAGCCAAATCTGCAAATGGCAGGATTTCGGTAGGCCTACTGCATGATCTACCGGTAGACTGGCTGCAGAATGCGCCAATCCCTGACATCAGCATCTGACGGCAATCTGGCAGTAGAATGACTGCAGACTGCTCGCCATCTGCCTCCAGATGCTGGTGCCAAGCCCGTCGCCAGTATGGTAACAGAGTAACGCCAGGTCTGATGTCAAGCCTGTTTCCAGAATGATTGTAGATTGTCGTCAGACCTGCCGTCACATCTGGCTTCAGACTGGCGGCAGATTTACGTCAGGTCCTGCTGTCGCAAACAGGGTGTCCCAAAATGCACACTGTCGGAGGACAGTCGTGCATTCTGGGACACCCTGTATAGTGAATCGCGCGATAAATGACCTGCCCAAGTTAGCCATTTGAACAATTATATATAATTTATAGATAAACAGCCAGCATAACAGCCGCCAAATCTGATGCTATATTTCGCAAACTTGAATTTTAATCTGTTAGTAATAACCTCGGTGATAATACCCAAATGTACTGATGTATAAACACTAAAAGATTATGATATCTAATATAATACGTATACTATAATATTGAATGATTATACATATGTATTTAGTGTCTTTAGTGATACAGTAAATAGTATATTATAATAATTTATATTTTATTATTATACACAGGAATTCGGAGTCCGAATTTCGGACGCGTCCTGTCCTGTTTAGTTGGTNGGAATAATGTGTGTCTAGCACGTGTATTATACGTGTCGTCAATAAAGAACCAGTAACGTATAAGATAAAATTGAAAATTGAAATATGTTCTCTGACCCTCTTCTCAACGGACAATCGTTGAATTTGCAACGCTGATATCGAATCAATAATTTACAAGTAACGAATACTCTTTGACTCACTTATCATGACTCTACGGACACTTACCTGTCCTAACTTTGAGCAAGTTATACTTGTAGACGATTTGAAAATATCGATTCGAAACTTTTGCACGCTTCCATTGCGGACACCGACTTGTGCGCCGTTACCTCGATCATCCGCCATTTGCTTTTTCCAGCTTTTTCCTCTCCGCTCCTCTAAGTAACTCAAGCGATTTTCCCAGTCAGCCAAATCTGCAAATGGCAGGATTTCGGTAGGCCTACTGCATGATCTACCGGTAGACTGGCTGCAGAATGCGCCAATCCCTGACATCAGCATCTGACGGCAATCTGGCAGTAGAATGACTGCAGGCAGACTGCTCGCCATCTGCCTCCAGATCATAGCATCTGTACTCTATCTATAATATCTCTATGCTTACAACACGACGTAAATACGTAAAATACATTCGCACATGTCGCACGTGCATTCGTAACTCGTCGTATAGTAATCGTGTCGGCAGACATAAACAATGTATTTTAAATAATAACACTAAACTATTCTTATATTAGAGTGTTCGTGTTATTTAAGTAATCTTAATAATGTTAATTTTCAAGCAGCATAACATTGCACAATTTTTACCTACACTGAAAGAGTTGAATGAAACATTTCGTCCAACCTTTCATTTAAGGATACGTAACAAACGCTATATTATTTGTAGAAAATCTCATACAACATCTCAAAATTCGTGGAAGGTATTATTCTTCGGCTCAGACGAATTCGCGGTCGAAAGTCTGAAAGCCTTGCACAAGAAATAGTGAGAAAAAGATTGTTATTCTACGATATTTTCCGTAGTAAGTACATCGTTTTTAAATATCTTACAAACATGTATTTTTGTACACAGTAAGTCGAAAGTATTGCAGCGGCTTGAGGTCGTTACGGCGGAGCAAAATAGAGATAATCCTGTTATGAAATATGCAAAGCAGAACAAGATCGTTGTAAATAATTGGCCTGTCAATGTTAACAAACTTGAATTTCACATTGGAGTCGTTGTTTCGTTTGGTCATTTAATTTCGTCTGAAATTATAAATGCGTTTCCAATGTAAGCTAGTTACTAACTAATTATCTTGATGATGCACAAATATTCTGTATAACGCTCTACTTATTTCGTCACAGGGGTATGATAAATGTTCATGGTAGTTTATTACCACGATGGAGAGGTGCAGCTCCTATAATTCACTCAATAATGAATGGAGATTCAAAGACAGGAATTACAATAATGAAAATCAAGCCAAAAAAGTAGAACACATTATTTTCTGATTATAGAAATTCATGGTAGAATTGATAGAAAATAAAAAAGATATACAATTTGTCTGTCAATATTATTTCAGATTTGATATAGGGGAAATAGTGCTGCAAAAGGAGATAGATATCGGTCAGAATGAAACGCAGCCGGAATTATCTAAAAAATTAGCAGAACTTGGAGCAAGTACTTTAGAAGAAATGTTTCAAGATTTGCCATTATCGTTACAGTCTGCGAAACCGCAAGACCCAACTAAAGTCACATACGGTGATTGTAATTTGATAATAGATTATTGTTACTATGATTGTATCACTAATTAATTAATTTACTTCTTCAGCGCCAAAGATAACGTCGAAGACGTCTGTAGTCGATTGGAATGAGATGTCTGCGACGAGAGTTTACAATTTACAACGTGCCCTTTTCGGGTTGCATCCCATACGTACTTCGTTTAACGATTTGAAAATAAAGTTATTCAATATGCAGACAGTTGAATCAGAGTTGGTAGCAAAACAATTCGAAGGGGATGCACCAGGTAAAAGTCATATTCCCTCATTTGAGAGGACAATTAAAACATATTCGATGTCACGAAAATGTTTGAATTGTAGGAACTGTGATGTATAACAAAACAATAGATGCATTGATCGTAAAATGTAAGGAGGAGAGTTTCGTTTCTGTTAAAAAGATAACTGTGGTAGGTAAACGTACTATGAGTGCTCGCGATTTTTACAACGGTTTCCTGTCTGGAAGAAAGCAAATAAAAGTACTATTTTCTTGAACTTAACATCCATTCGTTTTTAATGGAAACACGATAGAGAAGCTCGCTCGTAATTATTGTAAGAACAATATGCTCGAGAACTTTCCTTCATAAAATACAAATGAAATAACGTAATAATTATTGAAAGTACACTAGGAATGTCCAATGCTTTTTATGTGTTTCTTACCTTGACAAGTATGCAGAATCATGATGAACATGTGTACGTGCGCACACATGCATATGCACGTTTATTTGTACATACAAAAATACAGAAACCATACGAAATCAAGCAAAATAGTCCATTGAAAGTAAATACTGAAAATTTCCCTACTTAGAATAGATTAGTTAGAAAATAAGAAGTCTGAAAATGTATGTTCAAGTGAAATCTGCAGTATGTATTTTCAAAGGATATTTATGATTAGAGGAAAAAATTCGATCTGTATTTTGTATATTTTACAAGAAACGTAATGACATTCAATGTCTTAATTTATTCGAACGTAGAATTATATATAACTGCAGACATAAAATTGGTGACATTAAGTCTCAGATTCAGAGGCCTGAAATGAAAGAAATATCTTTTACTACTACAGATTCTTTCCTTTTATTGAATTATGTTAGCTTCAATATATATTTTTATATATATATATATGTATATATATATATTCGTAGTGACAATTTTAGATCAAGTGGAAGTATCCATAAATAAGTTTTAGCCTAATTTTTGTTGCTTTGGCTGCTTCGAAATTATACGAAGTGTAGGTGTATTATCCATCTTTTATGAAGAATTGTTCCCATTTTCTTACAAAATTGAGATTTTAAGTTTTTTTTTCGTATTAATAACTAATTGCCACGTGATATTTCGTAAATGGAACGTTGCATTTGATTATTCAATAAATAAAGATGGCACAGCTTTTACTGAAAATAATTAGTCATTGTTAGCAACTAGTTATTAATAAGACTGTTCGTTCTATGTTTAAAATCATTGAAAGAATTTATAATTCACATATATTCACTATTAAAGTACTTTATATTTCGTCGCATGTTTTGTTATTTAAATTCTACAATCATCAGCTTAACGTCACATGTTTTTAATGACCAAATAAAAAGTACCTTAATACTCGATGCGGGATTAATATTACATTAACAGACAGTAAAGATTGATTAACTTACACTAGGATCGCAGTCCGCGCAATGCCAAGAATAGCCTCTTCTCTTGGGCGACTTTTTAACAGGTGGATCAAGACAAGTGAAGTGGTAGCATTTTTTACATTCATCACACCTGAGATGCAAAAAACGATGAAATCGAACGTTCGAAATATATAAAGAGTAAATATACTGCGGTACAGGTAGTTGTGTACACTAACATGACGAGATTCTGACTGGTGCCAGGCATATCGCAGACATTGCAATGCGTCAGAAGGTCTGTGTCTTTTCCCTTCTTTCCGTTCCCTGTGGACGCCCTACTATTCGTATTATTACTCGATACATTTGCAGTCACAGATGTACTGTTTGAAGGCAACGGTGGAACAAGCGGGGGTGGCAGCTTCGGTAAAGGCGGCAGCGACGGAATTTCGGTACTCGTCGACGTGGCAATAAACATTTGCGGACTTGACTCCGATGCTGCATCCCCCTCTGGTCGTGGAATTGGTTTTATCTGTTGAATAAGATATAAGAAGTGTGTACTTATAAAGACATCGCGATGTGCAGCTGAACTAAAATGGCAACATACTTTTATGGTGATCCTTCTGTGAATCTCTGGTTGCCCTTGCCCCTCGGGATTCTCCACGTCAAGACTTTTCCGTTTGTGCTTGCGTTTCCTTTGTTTTACACCCGTAATTGGATCAGGAGTATATCTTTTATGTTTTTCTCTGATAATATTTCAGAATATTTTACATGTCATGCTTATAGAATGATATGTCTTACATACCTCCTTCTTTTCTTTGCACTTCGCTGAGAAACAGATTCGGTACCATCCGCTGAAGCGACCATGTATTCAGGCGATCCCTCTCTGGCTATCGTTACATTATTAATAGGTTGCTGATTATACATTGGCTCGCTCGATTGAACAGGAGTCGAAGTCAGTGGTTGTGGACCAACCGGTTTTATCGTCACCTGCATGGAAACATATTTCAATAACAACGGATGATAAAACCGTTCTTCTTCACTAATGCTTACTTTCGGCGTTGTGGGTGTCTCGATGGCAACATTTGTTACGCTAACGTTGGAAGAATTTTTTGACGTACTCGGAGTTGTTGGCGTCGTAGGCACTTGTACCTCTTGGGGCGGTGTCGGCGTCGATGTCAAATTAGAATCTTCCTTACAATGCCTCAATTTACGTGGAGCCGAAGTGTCGACATGTTCAACCTCCGAGCCTGACGATTCCTTGTCACATTCCGAGCATTGCCTGTATCGCATATTTTACACATTGCATGTCGAATCTGAGACAGCCAATAAATAGATAACATAGTTATTTACATATACGATGAAACGTACCATCCCATCAGTTTCGTTTTCTTAGGCATACGCGATAGAGGCGGGCTAAGGCAAGATAAATGATAATGCAAATGACACGTGTCGCATTTCGCGAGCAGATGTTGATTCGTCGATCTCCTGCATATTCCACACTGATGTCTCAACGTCAGTTCACCCTTGTGATTTTGTTCTTGCGCCTGACTGCTCAACACTCTACCTTCGCGTATTCCTTCTATCCCTTTGCCGACCGGTAAAGGAAATCCAACGCCCATCTTTAAAGCCGCGGCAGTAGGAACACCTAAACCTGTGCCTGTTCAAAGATCGTTATACGCCTTATGTATAGTTCTCAGTTTAAAGATCGTCTTACCTAGAGTCGGCGCTATTCTCGGTTTCACCAAATCTGATATTTGTGGCAGCGGTTTCGTATAACCGCTGCTTTGAAGCACATGATGGTACATTTCTATTTTCTCCTTCAATGTCACGTTCACGCGAATCTGTTCCTCATTATCTTTCATTACTTCATCATACTTTCTATCTAGTCTCTGTTGCTCGTTAAGTAATTGGGAATTAATATCGAGCAGCTCTTGCAACCTTCTTTTCATGGATGTCACCCGCAAGTTTCGATCTAAGTAATAACCGATAAACTCTACGCTAAATGCAGGAGGAATATGCCATTTTTTCCTAACGTCGACCAAAGCTACAAGCTGCGCTTCTTGTGCTTCCAATGCGGCAGTATCGACGCCCATCAGCTCGGCTTTTCTTGCCAATTGCCGGCAAGCTGAAGCCGACGTGGTCAACAGACGTGGCATCTTTTGCGTCGGCACTGAAAGTAATTGAAACATTTTTTCATATTCAGTTTCCTTTATGAAAAATTCGTGACAATTCATTTACCCCATGGTGGCGGTCTGGAGGCCTTGTGCGCTAAATATTTATGCCTATGCTTCGCTAATTTCCTTTGTATTCTACGCTGCTCCTCGGTATCTAAATGATTAGGCTGTTTCAGTAACTGTTGCCTGTACTGAGCTCGTAATTGGAGAGCCAACCAATTACGTCTACGTCTACGAACAAGCGTCTTATCGGAATGAAGTTTACAATGCGCATAGAACGGATCGGCTTGATCAACTTCTTCGCTATGAGCCTCAGAGAGCAGACCTTCTCTTTGCGCACTAAAAATTGTGACGTTATTTTTCATCATTCTTTTCATTATTCTATGTAATTAAATATCTGCGGACATTCTTACCAAGTTACGTGAAAATATGTGTGACACATTCCAGCATCACATTCGATACATACACCAGTGCGGGCGAAGCGTGCGTCTTCGCATAAAGAGCACTGCTTTGCTCCCCATTTACTGTATGCCATCTCAAAAAGAGTTACACTTGACAAGCGATCGACCTGGAATAGACGCATGAATTTTGAAAATATCGTCAATGTCTGCCGCACGTAAGAAATTAAACTCTGCATACCTCGCCAAAAGCAACGCCAGGTACGTAAAGTGCGCACACCAGATGCACCCATTTGCCTACATCAGTTTCTTTAAAAATTCCACCTTTATTGGGGCACAGTTCGCAACAGGGGTCTTCGATGCCGGCGCTGCAAGCTTCGCAAAACCATGGTGCCGACTGGCACAAAGAGTCTGTACTTGAGAAGCTCTCTACGTCAGATACACCGTAACATCCTAAAATAAATTTAATTTTTACACAATTCATTTTACACGATCGAGAAATTAAGTCGAAAGCATCTTTACCTTCGTGCACACTGACACCACATCCGTCGCATTCGACAATCTCATTGATGTCATCGCTTCTATCTCCTAAACAGCCACAACAAATTAGCATTTTACTTAATTTATCTTCGAGCGAGCCTCCTTTCAATGCTTGCTGCTTGGCCTGCTCAATTACATCTCCTACAGTTAAACTAGGATTTTCTTTCTTATTCAATAACGGGTCTTCCAAAGAGTCGTCAGATTCATCAGACGCGTCTTCCTCTTCTTTCGTGACAAAAATAAATTTGTGTTAGTTCATTCAAAAGATCGTAACAATATTATACTTAAACGCATGTTCAAACGTATCATCAATTTGCAAGGAGAGCAATTTTACTGACTGAACAATCAACGATTTAACATACCAGAGAATCTACTTTTTTTCAGTCTAACTCTTCTTGCATATCAATGATACCTTCCCCAACCATCCTCTACCTTTCCCAATGTCGTTAGAATCGACTGAATCGTCATCAGACTCTTCGCAATGATCTTCAATTCTGAAATCACTGTCATCAGAGCTTTCACCTAAATCAAAATCAAGCAAAGATGGTGCTGACCCTACAGGCTTGACTCTCCTCTTTTTGGGATCTCTTTCAACTAAAAATGATTATTCAATACAGTCCTTAAACTTTATCTATGTATCTTGGATATCTAAACAGAACTTGTTCAATGAACAATATAATTAATTGAAAGAATATGTATATATATACATATATATGTGTGTGTGTGTGTGTGTATATATATACACACGTATATGTTATAGAAAAGAGGTATAGTAACTTAATGCTAGGTTATGTGTGGAAGCAATTAAATAATAGCAAATACGTACAAATGCTAGTCATATTATTCCTAAAGCACTTTTCTTAATTGTAACAGTAATATCTCATGCTTTCTTTATTGACTTATTTCATCCGTTCAAAGTTCCGGCACATCCGTACACCTACAGTCTTTTTAAATGCCTCCTACTCCCACTACTAACGCAACGAACTCGTCGAGTAGTCGCTATGTGAGCTTGACACGTACACATCCATACATACATACATACATACATACATACATACATACGTATATAAATACGATACGCAATGCCGGTTTTCTGTATAGTGCAGTAAGTACTGCAGTGTGCACGCTTTTATACGCACATTTATTCGCTTACTTCTATGCCATTATTTAAATAAAATACTATTAAAACATTCATCATTTTTGTATGAAAACATTTAAAAAGCAAATATTAATATATGGAAAAAATATTAATACTCGTGTTTTAGTTTCTAAATTTCTGATAGCAAATGATACAAATTCAGATTTTTATTCATATAGATACTATTATTAAAGAATATGTACAGTCGAATATAATCTAGTATAATATAATGTATTTCATCAATGTTTTGTACTTTAAAAGCTGTGTAAATAAAAAAAAAGGGAAATAAATGCGAACATTTCTTAAGGAATTTATGGAAGATTCTTACTTTTATTTCACTAAAGTAAGTTCAACCTACGGTAGAAATATTTCGAAAACTTCTTAATAAATAATTTGCATAACTTACTCATGGTTTTATACAAAAATCCTACATCGTCCTCTTGTGACATTCTTGGTACAGCCAAGACTTCCTTCAGCTCGACATGAAACTTATTAATACTTTTTCAAATGGATTCTATAATATCTAAATGCAAAGTAAAATGTGTACGATAACTCGATGTATTTAAAACATTCACTTTGTTTTATATTAACATCTTTTCACTCAGGAAGCAACTGTTACACAATATCATGAACGAAGTTTCCGAACTTCTTTCCTTCGGCAGTGTTCGAGCAATGTTGTTATCGTTGTTATCCTTATGACGCTATTTCGTTTCTACCAGTAGAATAGAAGTGCTCATGACCGGAATTTCGTGATTCCCGTACAAGTGCTGCACCAAGAGGCCAAATTTCGAAAGGGTTCCACCGGTAGGGAAGGCCATTTTCAGTCCACACAGTGGTGCACCCTATAGTTGAGTATACGTATTATGTGGTTGAGTTTACGTCTAAAGTTTCTCTCTGATCTAAAGACTGTTAAAGACAAAATAAAAAGGGGAATTAGAGCCTTACGTCAGAAAGGACGTGGATAAGCATGTCCAAGGCTAAAACAGGACCTCAGGACATGCCTCCTCCGGGAGGATATGCTCCTTTCCAGTGGGAACGGGTTACATTACGCACTCTGTTTACAGGTACATAAGAAGTGATCTCTAACCTACGAACTTAATTTTAGAGTTCCTCGAAGTTCCAATTTCGATTTTTGACAACTTCAAAATTGTCATTGTTCCAATCGCTTTCATTCATTTTCATGTTCATAAAATATCATTAATACTAATATATGATTTAATTCTGACCAAATAGTAGTACTCGATTAATTATAAACGATGTGAATTTATTAATAAGTCCTCCCTTGTTACATAATTATATTAATCAAAATCGATGAATCGTTTACTTTGCTTGTATAATTATATAAAACACGCATGATCAGACTGCGGATTTGTTTAAACGTATTTTCACAAAATCTGCAGTCTGTGTACGAGATATCAAACTGTAATTAAAACGTTAATTACAGGTAAAATAGGAGTTGGACTTTTTATAGTCGTTAATGCTATCGGATGGCCTCTTTACGCCAAAAGTTTTCAATATGCGAGAAGACAATTTATCGAGAAAAAAAGTAACGAACTGGCGGCATTACCCCTTTTGATTGCCGAAAATGACAGAGCGTAAGAAAATTATTACATGCTGTTCGTAGCTTGCATATCGTTATGAACAGTGTTACATTACGTATCTATTAATCATCAGACATCATAATTACAATTTCTAAAACTGTTTTGGCTTGATTATCGAACTAATTCTATCTGCGTTACAGAACTTTGAAGTATATGAGACGATTGAGAGATTTGGAAGCAGACGTAATGAAGGATTTCCCATTCTGGGAAGTGGGAACATTGTTTGGAGTCCCGATATATGAAACTGTATCTAAAGACAAGTATAGAGAACCTACTCCGATGGACATGTACGCATTTGCCGATCGTTTCACAGTACCATCAACGAACCTCGATCCTTTCTTTACATAGATTGTCCTTCATAAGGATTTGTAAAATAGATAGCATTAAATTAAATGAAATACATACGAACTTATGAATGCAAATATCACTGACTACTCATTTTCATTGTTCCTATTACATCGCGCAAACAAAATAATCTGTCCGAATGTCAATGGAAGTTACCCTGTGCCCCGTATACCATTGAGACATAAATGAAATAATTTTTATAATACTAAAATATTCAAATGGGACCGAAGAAAAGTTCTTATATACGATACAATATCATTAAGTCACGGCACATCTATTGTGAAGAGTCGTAAATATTTATGTTCTTTCTTTATATCCGATAATCCCGATACTTTATACTTTCTAATTGTATCAACTTGAACGTGGTATCATCATCCCATCTGCCCTATTGAAATCACCACGTTGGAGCACACGGTGCATCACGCTTCATTCATCTTTTTATTCTCTCCCCACAAGAATATCAATTACATTGTTGTAGCTGAACCACGGATCGATATCCCGTGGATAATACGTTTTGGATTATGTGATATTTCGAGTACCACCGCCAGTGTTCGTCATTTAAATCTTTTTACTTCTGTTGAAGCACGATTTGTACCTTTGGCCTGGTTCTTCAATCAATTTTATAGAATTTGTACTGTTCTATGACTCAACTGGTGGCTCCAGTTTTATTTGCAGACAATTTAATAAGACAGAATTTAAATAATTATGAAGCAGAATCGGGGAACGGGGGTTCCGAAGATTAAAAATAAAATTCTGTTAATACGTTCATAATACATAAAAATTAAGATGAAATGAATTAAGTTGAAAGTCACTGGATGTTGTTACATCGGCCTGGCAAGATAACATCGCGATGCTCAACTATGCGTATAATTCGTAACTGATCCTCGACCACCGTGGGTCGCTAAAATTTGGGGTGGTCAAAGTAGCATGTAATAGGGCACCGTATATAAAGAGGATTTTTATTTAAGCTACCGCAGTCGTAGTTTCGACATGAGGTCGGCTAGAATGCGGAAAGACTTTAGTATAGAGAGTATTTTAGCGGATAACGCGTGTATGATAACTGAAAATGAGCAGTTCAGTGGAAACGATAAAATTGAAAATTACCGTTGTGTTGCTCGAGTAAACGAGGCGCAAAAGGATTCAGTAAATTCGAATGTGGACTGCGTTCAAGGAAGACAATTAAAAGGATGCACAAACAAGGATTGTAATAATGAAAGTAAACGTTCGTTATTAGAGAACGGAAATAAAAAGCCGACTAAATGGTTAAAAAATAAATCAGAGGACTTAGAGGTGCAGAACGCAAGGAAATTGGAATGGCTTGAATGTACGAGATACAAGCCACCGAAGATTCACAGGAAATCAGCGGTTAACAGAAATAGAAGAAGACCAAGTGCTCATCCTCGAATACCGTTCTCAACGTTTCAACTTTGCTTCCTAGAGCAGAAGTTTCGAAACAGCGCTTACATTTCGAGAGAAGACTTATCGAAAATATCGAATATGCTGAATCTCCCATCCAACAGGGTACGTCTCAATAATTTACAAATTTGTCGTTCCTAGAAGAAAATATAAACATGTCATTCTTTCTATATTTTATATACAATTGTCTGTTCCTTCGCTTTTGGAATCATGATTTCAAAAATGGTATCAGGATCTATAAAATCGCTGTAAATTGTTTGATCTACTTGCAAATTATGATTACGATTAATTTGTTTTAGGTGAAGATTTGGTTCCAAAATCGACGTGCCAGGGAGCGGCGTACGTTCTGTACTAATGCACAATCAAAACTGCTTACGTAATTTCTACCAATGTATACATCGAGGACTGAATAAGAGTTATTTTTAAAATTGTGTAACTTTCATATTTCTATATATATATATATATATACTATTTAAATACAATTGTTTTTTACCAACGTTTCTCCGAAATACATTTGATTCACACTATAAGTAAAGTCATCGACTGAATAACTGCACGTGAATTGCAGGTGACAATTGCAGTATCCACGTGATAAGTATTAAGTATATATATACATAATTAAAATTGTCAAACCTTTGTACATACTTCGTCTAATAAGCTCCGATCATTTAAGGGTAATTGACATCTCATTCGTCTGTTTTTTGGTCCAAGCGAAACAGCTTGATGATTCTTTGAAAGACTCGTAGTAAAAATACTCAGCACGCGGTATTATGACGTATGTACCAATTTATTCTTAGCTGCCAATTATAACTCTAGTCAGAATGTTTTATAGGAAGAGACAGGATAAATATTTAAGTTAGGTGATGGTATATATCCTTCATCGTTCTAATGCGAGCCACAATGATCAGACACATTTCACGTGCACATTTATCGGTTAACATTAGCTAATAATTGCAGCCATTGCATCTTTCACGCATGAATTCTGAATAATTTATACAACGGCACGTGAATGAAATAGCGAATTCGAGTCTTACATATATATGAGTTACCTGTCTATAAGCTCATTCGCTGAATAGGCTATAATCTGAAACACGATCTGAAATAGCGCGCGGACGTTAACGGAATGAAGTCAGCTGTTTAAGGAACCGAACGATATATAAGCGGCGGTGCCGCCAGTCTATGTTTCTGTAGTCGCGCGGCGGTATTCGAGGAGTGTGCGCGCGCGAGCGCCGTTCGTACGATCGCTCGTGTACTGTTACGGACAGTTCTCGTAATTTGAAAAAAAATGCAGCATTCCGTTCAGCAAGCGAACGGGGACGGCGTTCTCGGTTCACCGCGGAAGAAGCAACGGGTGACGGGTGTGCAGTCAAAGGTCACCGTCGTCCTCGGAGCGCAATGGGGCGACGAGGGTAAAGGCAAGGTCGTCGATATGCTCGCCATAGATGCTGACGTCGTCTGCAGGTGTCAGGTGAGTCCGCCATTTTTTCATGCTTGTCCGCCTATTTTCTGACAGACAAGATTCTCCGCATTTATCTACGTGTCATTTCGAATCGATCACACGACGTGAACCGCGTTTCTGTTTCGCTCTAGTTTCATTTACTCCGTACACGTCTCTTATCGTATTCCCGATTACGGCGATCGTTTCTCTCCTCCTTTTTCCCTCCTCATGTCTGCGTCACGTGATTATAAAAAGCTCTTCTTTTCCGTTGTAATATCGTACTTTTTGTATGAAACTTACGATCGTACACTTCTATAGTTCCGTTCAAACATTAAAAATGTATGATGCGTGACAATAACGATAAAATTAATACATGTTACATGACTATCATGTATCTCGTTTCTTACATGATGCAAGTTTTGTTTGGTATTTGGAGTGAATTTTGTATTTGAGTTGTGTACAAGAACATGTATCTATCTATTGTAATATTATTACATAACAAATGTTTCGACAGACAGTAGAACTTGAAAACTTTAATATGATAGTAATACCTATGCTTTGCGCGCTCTTCAACTTGAGATATATTTAATTACTATTATGAATGTATATCTCTCATACTTAATCAGCGTATAAATGGCTATGAAATGTCCACGAATTTATTTTATTTATACATACGTGAATCATATAGTTCGATGTTGAAATGAAATATTGCAAAACGATCTTTCCGGCTCACTTGCAACTGCTAGGAAATAGTTTCACGTCAGCGAACGGCAGAGTGGATTACGTGAGGTAATCTGATCATACATTAGACAAACTGATTTTTTCGCTGATCGTCTGTAATTAGAGTCAGTTATTCGAATAAATTTCAACTAAATTGCTGAGTGAAGAGATGCTGGCCAAGAACGTTCAAGGAAATTTATGCGAATTAAATGTTCTCAAGCACTTTCGCCCGGTATTAAATCATTTTGTTTTAGCAGGCTCACACTTGAAATTATAAATGTGACCGACTCATTGTTTCAAGATTGACTTATAGCTCGTGTATAATTTTTAAACTGTGTTGGTACTGACTCGGAGTTATCTACTATTGTTATTTAATTAGTAGTCTTATCATTCATGATGCTTCTCAGTTTAATGACTGACTAGCAACCACTGGGATTTGCGTAACATTAACAATGCTTTCATAATTTTAACCTGTTGTTCTATCTGGACGTTTATTTAACCACGAGCACAAAAATACCAATCGTTGCTCATCTATTTACTATCCTACGCCGTTCTTAGCATCACTAGTTCATCGTCTAACTTTGTTATTGTATTCCCTTTCCTACGTAACAAAAATCTCGATTACATTTTGTGCAAAAGGTAAAATAAGAACGAACAGAAGTATTGTAGGTTTATACAAATAAGTAGCCTGCGGGCGTTTATGGTACCAGTTTAAAAGACGTGTGTCCAGATGAACGTTTATTTTATCAATATTCAAAAATATGCATTCAGCTTTTAGTAGTCTGCATAGATACAAACAAACAAAAATTGTTACTACACGTTCCCTTCTTCTATGTATCTTTAAAATCCGTTGCCTGCAAAGTAATATTCCATTCCATTAAACTAGTATATTCATAGGATCATTTCAATTATCTTACAAGGCTTTGATGTAGATCCCCTTCAATATGTATACATTTTTTTGTCACATAAGTCGTAGTATACTCTGGTATCGAGACAGTTCCTTGTATTATACAGAATTAGCATATTAACGTAGTCAAGGCAGTTGCCAGGATTAAGGAGTGGCTCGATAAAAATGAAGTTGAAATAGATAGAAAATGTTCGAACCTGAAATTTTAGAAATGAACACGATAGGATTGAGTACATTTATGTCGTTACCTTAAGATGGTTTAAAATCAACGGTAATTAACATTTTCGCACGCGAGCTAAGTTTCTGAGGAATGCTACAAGTATTAATTCTCTTGATAACTCGTTCAATCAAATTGTACGGAATACTGTAAACCATTTGTTCTCCAATCAATCATATTTGATTACTTTCAGTCGATGCTCGAGCAAACAGTGTATCGGTTGCTTCTTCCCGTGTTTCGCATAAGAAACATAAACCGATATGTAAATTAACAGAAAGAGAAAGGAAGGGATGGAAGCAAAAAGAAAATTTTAATTTTGCAGGGAGGAAGCAATGCCGGGCATACAGTAGTAGTAGACGGTGCGGAATTCCACTTCCATCTTCTGCCCAGTGGAGTAATCAATCCTAGATGCACATCGCTTATAGGTAATTATTCTTTGATTATGATGTCAGGGATAATACCATAAAATTCGAGGAGAACTAATCAATTGTTGGAAGTTAAATACTTCATGACTCCTTTAAACTCATAATTTTGTCTAATACATCTTCAGTTTGTATCTTATTGTCTTATTAAATGAGAGGAATGTTCTCATGCGATTTGCATCGGAAAGGAACAAAATTGGGCTCCTTCCATCGTTCTCAAATGTTCCTATATTTAAATATGATTTATCCTAATTCTATAAAAGGCCTATTGACAATGCTCTGTTTACCACGATCATTGCCTTTTGTATCTTAATGGTTTTTATCTGTACAAACAAATGAAAAATACTCGGTAATGGAAACGGTTTCGCACTTGTTGACGAACATGTCGTCACGGTTTCGTTATGTAAGCATACCCTGGAAACTTAGCAGTTAAACGGTGTTAATAAAAGTTGTCAATTTTTAAATGAACTGAACGTACGTATACTCGATCATTTCATATAATAGTACTCAGAGTTCATTTAGTCATCGGTCATCATCATCTTGAGAGCTAGTACAGTTTTGTTGGATTTCACGTACGTGTTTCATTTTATTTCGTTTCATCTCTGACAAACTTTTCTATCCTAAAAGGAGTTTGTTAAAAAAACCTGCATGGAAATCTGGAATTTGGTAACAAGAGCATATGTTATTTTATTAAATATTTTTTAGGAAATGGGGTAGTGATCCACCTACCAGGACTCTTCGAGGAACTGGAAAGTAACGAAGCGAAGGGACTGGAGAACTGGCAAGAACGATTGGTGATCTCCGATCGGGCGCACATGGTATTCGATTTTCATCAGCAAGTCGACGGTCTTCAGGAACTCGAGAAAGGTGCACAATCCATTGGTACTACGAAAAAGGGTATCGGTCCGACGTACTCGTGTAAAGCTGCCAGAATTGGACTCAGAATCGGCGATCTCCTCGGGGACTTCGACGTGTTCTCGCTAAAGTTCAGGACTTTGGTATCGTCGTATGAGAAAATGTTCCCAGCCCTTCAAGTTGACGTGAAAGCAGAGCTTGAACGGTATAAAGAGTACGTGTATGAATGTTGCATAAAGCTTATCATTTACCAAAGTGTTCTACTATTGTTCGTATGTAATGTACGAATTCAATTAAACCTCGTTCTGTTTCTAGGTACGCTGAAAGGATACGACCGTTGGTAAAAGAAACAGTACAGTATTTACATCAAGCATTATGCGAGGGGAAGAAAGTATTAGTAGAAGGTGCTAATGCCGCTATGCTAGACATTGATTTCGGTACATATCCTTATGTTACGAGCTCGAACTGCAGTATAGGCGGTGTTTGTACCGGGCTCGGGTTGCCACCGACTTATATCGCCGAGGTCGTCGGCGTAGTTAAAGCGTACACGACAAGAGTCGGCGATGGCCCATTCCCGACCGAACTCACGGACGCTGTGGGTGATCTTTTACAAAAACGGGGTCACGAATTCGGAGTCACGACAAACAGAAAGAGACGCTGCGGTTGGCTAGATTTAACTCTACTTAAATTCACGGCAATAGTTAATGGGTAAGGATCGTTTGGTCGTTTAGCCATTGAATTAATATTGCAGATAAACGAGGTTCTACTCTGACTTCTAGATACACGTCACTGTGTTTGACGAAATTAGACATCCTGGACACGCTACCGAAAATTCAAGTCGGCGTAGGTTATCGATTAAACGGAAAAGAAATTGATTACTTCCCGAGTAATACCTCCGATTTAGCGAAAGTAGAGGTGATTTATGAAACTTTGGACGGCTGGCAATCTACGACCGAAGGAGTGCGGTCTTTGGAGAAGTTGCCTCCTAATGCGAGGAAGTATATACAATTGATAGAGGAACATCTCAGTGTACCAGGTAGGAATCTTTTATCAGCAGCTGTATTTAATCGAGTCCGTCAATACAGTGATTACCGTTGCGATCGTTTCAGTCAAATGGATCGGAGTGGGAGCAGGTCGTGAAAGTGTAATCACGCTTTGACGTTATACTTATGAGTCACAACAATGGAGGCATACTTATCTATTCATTCAGTTCGCTACTTTTTTGATGATAAGTCTGGTCTGTCAAGGGAGTCGATGGTTCAAGCGCACAGAGAAACGACGAGAGAAATTTATAGCGTTAAGATCTTGAAGTTTTGTAGTATACATTATGTTGAGGAAAAGGGTAACAGTCTTTTTATCGAGTTCCTCCTTTCTATCGTGATGACTGTGTTTATCCATTGTTCGCATGTAAAATGAGAAATGTTAATTAAAATGTATTTATTTGAACACCCACATCCCACCTTCAAAACCCAGTCCTTAAACCCATTTATAACAGATACAACTTCTGTCTATTTTATTATAGAATTTGTAGAAAACGTTCGAACAGGCTATTTTATGATTTACGATTTATTCGTTGAAAAGCTGAAAAGAATGTTAACCAAGCAAATCAGAATTAAAGGCCGCAGTGTATCAGTATTGATTACGAAGTTTGAAGTACGATATAGGGAGAAATACGTTTTTACTCCCACGTATATTGACCACGCATATGTATAGTATGCCGTGACCATGGCTATGACTTTTTTAATCAATTCACAACTGAATTTCTTACTCGATTCCGTCTTGTACACTCAATAAATTATGTTCTTTTTTTATTTTAATTCGATCGCGCGATGATCGTTTCGTTTCGTTTTGATTGTCACGATTCAATATTGACAGTCTTCGTGACTACGAAGATAAAGTGTAGTAGCAAGCGAAATACAGTGAGTTAAATCATTTGGATAGCACAGGTGTCTGTCTCGCAGCTACACTAAAATTATAATAAAAATCTAACGGAGTACTTACTTTGCTTTCGATTATCATTAGAAAATGAATAACGTGTGCATTTATCTATGTACGCATGATGCGTCTTCTGATACGCGATTTTAACCTGCATCTAACGATTGCAATAATTTAATTGAGTGTACATATCTTGTTTGTTTCCTACATTAAATGTAAAATACAGAAAAAAAATATATATATATATTTATTGTATGATATTTATAAAGTGATATGCGTTTGAATAAGTATAAATACAAGGAAAAGTAAGTTCTTGTTAAGTATAGTTAGTATCTTGTTAAAGTACTTGTATACATTGACAGCTTAACACTTATCGTTTCTGCTTACTACACGTCCTTCGTGTATTTTTACACATCACTTGTATATATTCATTAATATCCAATATTAATTCTACATTGCTTTAAGAAAATCAATTATGCTTTCTAATTGTCATATCTGGGCTGCGGATTTCTATGCAAAATAAGATATTTAGAGTAAAATGAAAATTAGACATTTGCATTTATGAATCAAATGTCACTTTGCTTCTAATATTAACTGTTCAAAATTCAGCACACTTGTGTCTTTTATAAAAATCTGCAGTCTAATCAAAATCTAATTACTTGTATCTTTGTGTACCCTCTTCGATTCGTCTTGTGCCAGTTTAATTTCATACAAAATCTTTTAATACGTAACTGCTTAGAAGTTTAAAACAGCTTAATTCATCCTTATAATTATCAAATGTCAAACAGAGTGAAAAATGCCTGGAGAACCACCTATGACCAGTGGGGGTAAAAGCTCAGGAAAAATTAAACGCATCTCAATCCCAAGAGTGCAAAGCAGTACAGATACAGAATTGCAATCGCAAAGTGGATCAACCCCGTTGCAACCAACTGCGCTTCATTATGGAGCTTTTCGCACGGACCCTGACGACGGTGTACTACCACCGGCACTACGATGTCGACTTTTTGAACTGTTCCAGCAAATAGAAAAAGAATTCGAGGCCCTTTACACGGAAAATCTGTCTTGTATGAACATCAATTTATTATGCACGTTTTTTTAATTACGATAATTAAACTGAAGCGTGGAACATTTATTGATTCAGTACAAGAGAAGATAGATACTCTTAATGAGAGGCTTGAGAGAGAATGTTATGGTTCTGGAGAACGGAATTTACCTATCGGAGATGTTGCAGACTTTTCAGATACAAAAGGTCTTTCCAAACAAAAATGTAAGAATCTTCATTACCTCCTGTATTAATTTACGTGATTATTAGAGATCTGCGAGAATCCGAAAGTCTCGGACAAAATCCGCAGTGTAATAATAATTGATGTTAGACGATAAGAGATTCACTGTGTTGTTTTATTCTATTTTTAAGTATTGGAACGATACCTGTTTGCAGCTATGGCAGGGAATACAGCACAGAAAACTAAAACGACTTCTCATAAGTTGAAAGTTCAAACCAGTAAAATAGTCTCCAGTTTCAAGACCCCGACTATGTCATGTAGCATGCAAAGGGAATACATTGGCCATCGCGACGGTGTCTGGGAAGTGTCCGTCGGTAGATCGGGTCAGATCATTGCTACAGCCTCCGCTGATCATACTGCTAAAGTTTGGGCCGTCGATAGTGGACGTTGTCTATTGCAATACATCGGTTCGTATTTGAAGTTCGTTCACAATCTCTTGTGACTAATGTCGACGATCTGAATTAATTAATGCTGTTATCTTGTATTACTTTTCGTTCGATTTAAATAGGACATTCGGGTTCGGTTAATTCCGTACGTTTTCATCCTACCAAAGAATTGGCACTCACATCAAGCGGCGACGATTCCGCTCACGTGTGGCAAGCCGCTGTTGATTGGGATTTACCCAAAAGACAGAACTCTGCTGAAGATCTTTCAGGCTTGAGTTCCGAGAGAAATCTCAGTGGCGTGGTTCCCATGAACGAGGAGCAAGAAGAACCACCCACGCTAAGGTAATATTTACTTGCCAAAAACAAGTAATAAATAGACAGCGATACTTTTATGCAAAATAGATTTAGTAGTCACTTGAAAAAATGCATTTCAGATTGCAATTCACTTGCAGTACGATCGTTTCATAAAACCCACAGTCTAGTAATAAATCTGTTCAAGTTGTTCTATAGTCTGTACATGTTTCGTTCTGTGAACGATTGCAGGACACCGGTACGAGAATTATTAGGTCATACAGGCGTCGTGATGGCTGCAGATTGGTTACCCGATGTAGAGCAAGTGGTCACTGCTTCGTGGGATAGAACCGCTAATCTTTACGACGTCGAGACCGGAGAAATCATCCATACTCTGTGTGGACACGATCAAGAACTTTCTCACGTATCGACGCATCACACTCAACGGTTGTGTGTTACCTCGAGCAAAGACAGCACCTTCCGTCTGTGGGACTTTCGGGAACCCATTCATTCGGTTTCCGTTTTCCAAGCACACACCGAGTAAATAAATTAATCATTACATCGTTTGTGAAATTATTGAATAACACGTTGCCGACGATGTTTCTTTCTATTTTTAAGTAGAACTGTAACCTCCGCCGTTTTCACGCGCGAGGATAAAATCGTTTCGGGTTCGGACGACCGAAGCGTGAAGGTATGGGAGCTACGGAACATACGGAGTCCTTTGGCTGTAATCCGCGGCGATAGCGCGGCTAATCGGTTAGCTGTATCGAGCAGCGGTACCGTTGCGATACCGCATGATAACAGGCAAATTCGACTGTTCGATCTTAATGGACAACGATTAGCCAGATTGCCTAGAACTAGTAGACAGGTACGTAAACTTCTTGGTCTGTGGAATCAAGCGGAGGGCTTAGAAGCTAGTCAGTCTACATAAGTCCATCATTCTTAAAATTGTAATAAATAGGGACATCGCAAATGAGTATAGAAAAATAACACTGTCATAAAATGATCTTTAGAAATGAGTAAACGCATTTGGAACTGATTTCAGGGTCACCGGCGGATGGTCTCATCGGTAGCCTGGGCAGAAGACAGCGGAGTCTGTAACTTGTTCTCTTGCGGTTTCGATCGATTAGTCCTTGGATGGAGCATTGTGCCTCTCAAGGAATGTTAAATATGTATATTACGAGAGTATTTAATTAGTTTAGGTATTAACTTAAACCTCACTGTTATCGAATCAAATTGTATCGAGAATAAACGATTAAATGAATTGCAGAGTCTTGAGCGTGGCCGATACGATGTCCGGCGTGTAACTGTAAACTGTTATACCCGTTCCCAAAATGATCAGGGATTCCAGCTTTCTGTTGTTGGAAACCACTGAAATTACATGCAAAATGATTATCAATAGAATCAATTCTATTTTCTGTATATCCTAGATAGATGAGACTCTTTACCTGAATAAACCGTGAACAAGCAGAGGAGCGTGTATCCCAATATAAGGAAATAATGCGGTGCCGAAAAGATATGTCCCCAGATAATCTCTAATAATCCCAGCAGTTTTCCAGATCCACCGATTATCAAACCTTTCGTTAAATGATTCACGTCGCACTTGGTTCGATCGGTCGGATAAAAGTACCACTTTACTTTTGTAAGGAGAATCACGACCGCGACGAAAGCGGCGAGGGCGATGGCCGTTTTAAACAGTATTAAATAGAGATTGCAATGCGCGTCGAGATTACGTTGGAGCGATCTCCAGGACTGAATGTATTCGTTGTTGTTTTCGTTGTCGCAGAGATAAAGATTTCGAAACGATTCTACGAGCCAGAGGATGATCACTAACTTCCAACAGGCCTTCAGATCGCAGTTGTACAGCAAGTGCCTGTACGCTCGTTTCTCGAGTAACAATAAGTCAACCAAGATGATGACTGGATCGTACTCGATATACATGTCGGCTAAATGACCGCAGGTTTCCTGGAATAAATAAACAGCGTCGCAATTTTCTACTGTAACGCGCATTAAACTTTTAATTTATTCTCACGTGAAGAGGTAAACATCAAAGTTTCCTTGTAACTAATTTTAAAATAATAAGAAATGTATGTTCTTGATTTTATTATAATTTTTTATTTCCACAAGGTACACGTACGCATTTTAATAATTTTAAAACGTTCGGACTGTACTGCCGGTAAAGTTCTTCCACCTGGGTTCCGCAATTTACGCATTGATACATCGTTTTCTTTTTCTGTTGAAAATATTTTAAACATTACCTGAAATTGTTTACAAACAGAATTTAATTCTAATATAATGTTTAAGATGTGTATCGGAATTTAATCTTTTGTCTAATGAAATATTTGAAGTATTCTCTATAAGACGTAGACGGATAAGATGTAGTATTTTAAAATTAATGACGAATGAACGATTAATATTCAATCGGCGAGAAGAAGAATTGAAATTCTCGTACTTGAGAATATTTTATTAGAATCTTGGGAGAAGAAACTATAGAATCGCCTTGACTATCCAATACCTGAAGGACGCCAGTCACTAAATAATTCTGTCGGTGAAAGCAACGTTCCTTACTGTATTCTAAACCTGTATGCGGTTAGTCGTTTTCCGGTGTTTCTACAGTACGGAAGCGATGGAGGACAAAACAGTTCGGCTCCCAAACGGGGAACTAATACCAATAATTGGTTTTGGAACGTGGCAGGTAAAGTAACGATACATATCTACACTAATCTAAATCATCCAATTTCTGTTCAAATTATAATTTTTACTTACCGACGTATTAAATGGTTTTACGAATTTTAACGAAATTTTTCTCAGGGATCAACATTTCACAAAAATAAAATCAGTATTTCTTAAAATAACACATTCTTTATAACGGAGCAGAATAGAGCACTAAGTTTTATATATTTTCAACTTCGTGTATCATAATAAAGTTATACTTGAGATAAAAAAAAAAGGACAATGTAACCTTGGCCTGATTTCTATTTAAAAAATTGTTCCGCAGATGTATAATTCATTGTTGTTTATATAGTATAAAAACAAACTCCGTGAAAAAAAATTTTCCTCACTTGAACTCGTGACGAGCGTAGGATAACGAATATAAAAAAGAAGGATTTTAATTAATATGACTGCTCGATTTCAACTTAGCATTGACGAGTTCGGATCAATTCACATTTCGTAAAATAGTTTCAAGTAGGAATCTCATGAAATATTAGAAAACGAAATTAGAATGTCATGAATTATAAAAAAAAGTAATAGTTTATTATTCGCTAAAATAAAAGTTCGGTTCGATATACAACTGAGACAAAGGATAATTGTATTATTTGGTGAAGCACACGACAATAAAGTGGAACAAAGTTACTCGATCTAATAAAATGATTGAATATAATAAATGCTAATGGATGCCAAGGAGGAACACCTCCAGTAAATTCACCAATTCAATGTTTAAAGATGTATAATATACAACAAGTATTGTTATCTTGTAATAATTACGAGACAAATTACATGTGTGTATAAGAAATCGAACAGCAGAACAACAGGAAATACAATATACGACATTCACAAGAATTTATTTAAGAATGAGATGTATCGTCAGTAATTAGTGCCTATATTTATTGATACTTCTCTATTCATGTACCAAATTCGGATTTACCAGTTTCCACAGGAATCACTTTTCAATATATACTACGACTTCCACGAGAAATATTTTCATTAGCCCCACATCACGTACTATGATAAGCCACATTCCACGTGTAACAACAACAACAACCGGTTTTTGATGTTTGGTTACATGTCATGTCGATGTGTTGGTTCTCGCTGCGATTAATTCAACGGTTTCAATACGAGATGTCGCCTCTTGTCCATAAATTATCCTAATATGATTGCATATCCCGGTAGATGGCACTATCGTTGCCTTTCTAAGTTATGCTAACGTCACGTGATGTTGCGAGGCAAGTTCAAATTTGAAAAATTAGTTAATAATTAGTTAAAATAGTAAAATGCAATGTTTATTTATCAAACTGTTACCAAAAACGTTAAGGTTCCTTTGTTTAGGTATAACATAGAGCAGTTTTGAATTCTGCCTTTAGATGTGTCACTTTTGCTTGGATATGCGGATTTCCGAATTTTTTTATAACAGTACGTTCACAATTATCCTATATCCGTATCACAATAATCCCCAGTTCCCTTTTCTTAACAATATTTTAATAGAAATGCTTACAATAAATGATTTTTAAACAGATATTCTTGTACAGAGGATCTCTTTAAAATACATATGTATATATTTTCGATATCATCAATCCTTCGAATATCTTTCAAAATTATAAAAACCATGCAATGTTACATTATTATCATGCTTTTAAAATAATTATTATATTGAACAATGGCTTGTGAATTAATAACGAAAAACATTGACCAATAAGCACGATCCGAGCCAACCTACACGTGGCTAGTGGCGGGCTCTGCGCGTGCTGTCATTGGTCAGTGTTTTTCGATATTAATTCAAAAACCATGCCTCACTTTGCATTTTATCAAAGGAAATTATTGTTCAGAAACACTTCCAAAATCGTCCCTTCTCAGCTTAGATTACCCAATTACCCCGTATTTTCATTACATTCGTTTGTATGTAACGACCTAATCTTTTATTTCTTCTCATCCTCATGCAATAGCAATACGCGTTATATCATTCATTAATATAAAAGAAACACTGTAAATGTTAACGTTGAAGGCACCCGAATCGGAGTTGGAAGCTGCTCTGGAAATCGCTTTAGAAGCTGGATACAGGCACATCGATACAGCTCCAGCGTACGAAAACGAAAAAGTTATTGGGAACGTTCTTAAAAAATGGTTCACTTCTGGAAAACTAAAACGTTCCGACGTTTTCGTAGTTACAAAGGTAGATTTCAAATTAAATGCGATAAACTTGTAATAAATGATACGTATTATTAATTCAAGTCTGACGGATATCTATACGTTAGATATAAGAATTTTTTATAATTTGAAAAAGAGCTGCTGATGATCAGTAGGAATGAAATTCTGTACAGCTTCAACGAGCATCGTTTTCTCGCGTTACAGCTTCCCCCTGTGGGAAACAGGCCAGAGGACGTTCAGAAATGGATTGAAAAATCGCTGAAAGATTTGCAGCTGGAGTACGTGGACCTGTATTTGATCCATACTCCTTTTGGCTTCGAAAAACAAGACGGATATGAAATGTATCCGATAGACGGAGAGGGTCACCTCTTACTCGACTGCAGTACGGATCATGTAAAGATTTGGGCGGAAATGGAGAAGCAAGTCGAAGCCGGACGGACCAAAGCGATCGGACTGTCGAATTTCAAGATCTCCCAGATCGAACGAGTCTTGGAGAAGGCGAAGATAAGCGTTTCGATGTTACAAGTCGAGTTACACGTTTACCTCCAACAGTGCAAATTGGTAATAATCATTCGGATTGAAAATGTTCATTCATACACTGCGGGTCTTTATACGGGATAAACCGATGTAGAAAATGAAATTTAAATAGATATTTTATGTGGCCCATTTCGTATCTTCTTACAGGTGAACTATTGTAGACAGAAGAATATTCCTATGACAGCTTATTCGCCGCTTGGTACGCGAGGTTTTGTCAAGAAGATGAACAAAGAAGATAAGATACCAGATATGTTGAAAAACAACATAGTATTAGAAATAGCAAAGGCCTACAAGAAGACACCCGCACAAATTCTACTGCGATACCTCGTTCAAAACGGTATCATTGTCATCCCAAAGAGCACGAATCCCGAAAGAATCAAGGAAAATATCCAGTTATTCGGCTGGGAACTCGAAATCCGGCACATGAAGGAATTGAGACAGCTGAATATCGAGGGTGACGCCGGTAGGATTTGTAATTTCGATTTCTTTGAAGGAATCAAGAACCACCCCGAATTCCCGTTTTAAACATTTTTGTGTAAGAATATTTCCATAGCATTTGCAGAGTGTATAAATACATCTACTGTTTGTTTTATTTTCCCTCAATTATAAATAAAATATGCTTCGATATATGATTCTATAGAATGCATATCATGATAATTATTATTTCTTATTTTTGAGAACTTAATAAAAATATTTCTCTGCACGTGTATACTTTTTGTGTTATTTCAATCCGACAATGGTTACAATGTATTTTTATCTGTGTATACGTTGGGCGATTAAATATTCGTAGGGTGAAGAGCAGGTGACTGTCGTGTATTTATCACGTAAAGAACAAGGTCTTTATTCCATTGCACGATAAGGTATTCGAAATATAAAGAAGTTACAGGTGTTTTTTCTCAAAGATCCATAAAATTTCGGAAATCTGATCTCTTCTTTCTTTTATATCATACAAGCATTCGTACATTAGAATTGCAAATGAGATATTAAAAGAAGCTCCTCCAGAAGAATTTAACAGAAAAGTGAAATAATTTAATGGAGAAAAATATGAAAACTGAGGACGATCTCTTACAACAGACCGTCCCGGAATCCTTTTATTATACTTTAATTAGGAGCGTATGAAACAGACTGAGAAGTTTTCGGTGTATGAGAATTTTTAAATTATTTAAATAGGGGAAGTTCGGAGGAAGATGCACCCTCGAGTGAATAAACAAATTCGTCTGAATGGTTCGCAAGTACGTCGCGGGCGAGTAGTGGGGGACTCGATGTTGTTAGGGAGATCGGTGCCCGTGGCCGATACCAGAAGAGTCAGAGGTCTGCTCGCGTTCGCGTTCGTCCAGTCAGTGCGTGCCAGCGGCTCGTGTCGCGCGTTTCTCGCTTCATTTCTTCCGTCGTCGTCCTCTTCGTCGTCGTCGTCGACGCACCCGCCGCTCCGTTTTTCATCCGCGTTTCAAACCCGTCCGCCTTGCTACCGAAGAAGAAGAAGAAGAAGAAGAAGAAGAAGAAGAAGAAGAAGAAGAAGAATCACACGTTGTGACATTGAAAAAGTGCCGACGACTGCCTTTTGACTACTTTGGTCTCGTTGAGTCTTGGGACCAACGTCGAAAGGTAAGCTCCGATTCCGCGGCAGGTGCCGCGCTAGAGAAACACGTGGACCTCTCGGTGACACCGGGTCGTGTATTAAAACTTCCACCGAATTAGATAGATATCGTATATTCGTGACAGCGATTGATGTAAAAATTATCTGAGAATAATTCCAAATGAATTTGGAAGAATGTGAAATAGGTATAGTGACTCCCATTAATATTCGGAGTAACTTTTTTAGTATTAGATTAAATAATTTAATTTGATGTTAGAAGGTTTAGTGTAACAAAAAATTTAAAAAAATTGCTGTTCGTTAAGGGAAAACGAAGTGTAAGAAATATTGAGGCATAGGCGAAGACCGCAGGTTCAAAGGGAAGAATAATGAAAAATAAAAATGGGAAATTGTTAGAAGATTGCACTAATTTTTATCTTATCATACGAAGAGGTGTTAGGACCAACAAGTAACTTATCAAATTGGTTCTACATTATTTTTTCGAAATTATCGTGCGAACTTTCTTAATAGTAAAGCGAGTCAGTTCGTAATTCTAATTTCTAGTTACAATTTCCACTCGAGATCCGAAAATTGTAGAAAGAAAAAGCAGTGAGAAACTGTGACGTGAACAGGAATTCAGCTGAATTGAGAGTATTTTTCTATGAAAGAGATTCGAGTTCGAAAAAAAATGTTCGAAAACCCGGGGTATCGGTTGAAAGCGTCGATTGGAAAGGTAAAAGCGTCGTTGCGAAGTGGGATGATATGCCTGCACGATGGCAAGGTAAATAGAGAATTGTTTTGCACCTCGTACAACTCGCGAATTAGAAATGCAATTGTGTCAACGATTTGAAGAGTAGCTACTGGAGAATCCGTGCAACCGGAGCCTCATTATCGCTCGGCCTTATGTAATATTTATATTCTTTTATTTTTAGGTCATTAAAAATACTTGATCACTAGCATTGACATTGACGCTCGAGGTGTTCCACGATATTGAAACAACTTACTTTTTTTTTGGATCATAATCAAACTTTCAGAACTAAAAAAGAAAGATTTAGGAATTTAGGAAATAAAAAGGCTGTGAAAATAATAATTCAGAGTATTAACGTACAGAAATAATGTACTTTGAGCTGAGAACAAATTATGAACATCGATCGTTTCCTTGAATATTCAGCAAAAATTAATTAATTCATTTATTCAACCTATAAGTTAGAATTTCGTATTCGTCACAAACGAAGTTGTCATTCATTTCTTAAAATCCAAATACACTTCCTTAATTATTAGGAATTAACATGTAATTAAAGACACGTAGATTTTAGAATTTTTTTAATAATATTTCATATCTCCTTTCACTATAAATAATAATATAGTTCATTTATCACGTGACATGTGATAAATTATTAAATTTAACACTTGCTCTCTCGAAATCTACGAACCGTATTTTTCTTGGTTTTAAATTTTATGAATCGGCTGATAAAATTTCACGCCTGCAAGATGTTGGCGATCAAGGTTACTCGAGGCCTGATCGATCATCTTTTTCTTTTTATTCGTGGTATCCGGAAAAATAAGGGAGACTTTCAACAAGGATGGTTGACTTAAGTCTGTTTTCGCTCGCGTTATTTTCGTACCGGTATTCCTCGAGCGTACGACGCCTCTGTAAACTCCCATCTTTTTCCAGCGTTCTTTCTTTTTTGTCGAAATTTTGCCACCGTCTGCAGCGCTGAACGAAAGGTCAGCGACGATACAACGGATCGAAAAAAATAATTATTTCATTGAGTAAACGATTTATAAATATCTAGCAATTTAATCGTTTTATCGTCATAAGACACTACTAAACATATAAATATTATATATTTAACCACTCAACAGTATCCAGAATATTATCTGTCTTTTGCTTCGAAAAATCTGAATAAATTAGTTGTAAAATCGGTCGGCGGAGATAAGATTATTCGACAAACATGTAGCTCGTTTCGCTAATAGCGAATCGAGAGTTTTATCATATCGAGTCGTTTGTAAGAACCGTAAGGGAAAGATTACGAGAGGCGGTGATATAACATTATTCTTTTCGTTTTTTTTAAGTAGCGAACAAATCCTGAATGAAATCGCTCTTATCGCGTCACGCTAATTCCTATTTCAAAATTACTGCAAAAGTTGTATTAAGAATGCTCAATACTAGACTATACTTTCACGAATTTATGGGAATTTTCAATAATTCAAAGAGACAATCAGCATTTCGATTCTTTAGTTTTATTTATAAAAATGGGAATTTGTATCGAACGGTTCATTATATTTTTAAAGATTTTGGATCAGACGTTTTTTTTTATTCCGTTTAGGATATCGTTCCTTGGTTTGATTATCTTTCGCCCTGTTCAGCGAATAGAGCACTGAGTAAACGTAGAAATGTAGGAAGTTTGGAAATTCTGGAAAATAAATCATGATAACAATATCTGTAGTTATCTGGCTTCCTTGATCTTAGGTGTGTTTAGGTTTCTTCAGGGATTTCATCGTTTTATATTCGTTACTCTTGTCACATTTCGAATCATACTTTTCTTGTTGAATTCAAAGAGTTTTCATTCAAATGAAAAAGAGTAAATCGGTTCCTACATAATTCGAATAATCGTAGTACCCGTCAAATAAAAGCTGGTAAACTTTAATTGAAACAGCTTGCGGAAGCACGCACACGAGTTATTAGATTACAAAAGGTAATAAAAAAATCGAGTAAAATCTCGGAAAACGCAAGGGCGTGCGAATTCGAGCCTCCGTGCACCGTGTCGAGGTTCTCCTGTTCCCCGGCTCGGTTCCTGTTCCCGCTGTTTCGACATTACGCGACGAGAGAGGCCTTCGTAAGCAACGAGAGCCCGGCTCGTTGGTCGATTTTGCATTCCGAAGCATTGCGAAGTAACGTGACACTACGTTAGATCCAACAACCTATCCGTTCTGAATTCGTTAATATCGTCTACCGACGATGCTCACTATTCCTTTTCCCTACTTACGAAACAACATTACGGAAATCATTGCAAGCTACACTAAGGTTGTATGAACCATTATATAAAAACAATGACAAAGCATTGATCATCATACAACTTTAATTATTTGAGTTTGGAACCTTTGGAACCTAATAGGGAAATTTGTCAATTGAGAGTATTTAATCGTTTATTTCGTCTAATGCATCAGCAGCTGCAGATTTTTATATATTTTTACAAAAAATCGTATCTACAGTTCAATTCCCAAGAATGGTAGGCTAGAATCGATCGGTTTCGTTGCAAGTAAAAATTTCGCCGAACGAACGTCTCTCCTAAAAATAATTGAAAAATTTTCATGTCGCAAACTCGATCAAAACATTTCCTCGAATCTTTCTTTCGTTATTGGTCTGGCTCCGTGTTTATGCCAGACGGTGTGTATCGCGAGAGGCGATCACACGGGCACGTTCGAATTTTATCGGAACGAGGCGGTGGCATACGAATTGGAATTTAATGAGCGCCAGTCTTTTTGGGAGCATCGCATAATATTTTAAGATCGCCTGTGCGATCGAGCATGTAAAAAATATGCCGAGCGATTCGTCTAAACGATCTCTGCACGCTCTGCTTAGAAAATGGGTGCGGCAGGTTCTTTTCTGTATAAGATCGAATGAAATGAACGATGAAACTATTAGCGATAATTATAATAATAAAAT